CTACAGAGTTTTTGAGTTGCTTAGCAAACAATGCTAACCTTGTTTCGACAGACATTGTTGGTCAGGATGCCATGCATGGCCAACAGGGGTCACTGCTACCTGACGGTATTTTGGAAGGCCAGTCTGGCATGAATAGAGATAGCTACTTCCCCATCAGCAAGCCGGTCCCACTTCGTTTATCAACCAGATTCTTGGTAGTAACGCTTAAGTACTTCCAGCCTAAGGGACATCTCATCCGAATGTCTCAAATTCATAAGTCAAGCTTCGAAGAGAGAAAGAAAATCCTGGGGTCCGAGTACGAAGCAGTTTCCTTCTTATCAGTATTGATTCCTCTATACTGGCTATTGTTTGTTTGTTTTGGCGCACTAGGAATGGGAAGCTGGCTACTGTTTCGTAATCCGCAAGTCGCCCGAGAAAATAGGTTATCACCTTTTTGGGTAGGAGCTTTCTTTGCGGTTTCAGCGTTTGTGAATAGCGGCATGAGCATTCTAGATGCGAATATGAGCGCTTTACAGACAGAGTGAAATCCCTGATCAATTTACTGCATATCGAACGCATGCTGATTAATTATACAGAGCCTTCCCCCTCATCTTCATGGGAATTTTGATCCTGGCCGGAAATACGCTCTATCCATGCATTTTGTGCTTCATAGTTTGGTCATTTCGGAGGGCCATACCAGATCGACCAGGGTGGGAGAGTTGGAGCGCTACTTTGGATTTTATCCTGGACCATCCCAGAAGGGTACACCTTGATAACAAGCTCCTCCAAAGGTATTTGACGTCTAACGTTAGCCAGGTATACACGAACCTTTTCCCAACTTGCCACACATGGTATCTGTTAGGGACTGTTATTGTGTTGAATGGCCTTAACTGGGCGAGCTTCGAGATTCTCTCATTGGGAAATAGAGAAGTTGAAGCGTTACCGATGGGCTTCCGTATTCTGGACGGTCTATTTCAGGCACTCGGCATGTGGCCATTGATCTCGTCCACTGGCCTTACTAATATATTTGATCTACAGCTGTCCGCACTGGCGGTTTCTCGGTTGTTACGATCGCCGAATTGAAACAAGGTCTTCTTTTCTTATATGGTGAGAGCCAACGCCTTTGATTCTGCACGGCCGATCTGGGTTAACACTTATTTAGTTCTCATGATGGTTGGCATTCTCCCTCCATTGGATTTTTGAGCTCACATGCTTGGCTAGTACCTGTCACCATTCCCTGTGCTTGTCACGATGAGGTAGGTCGTTGCAGTCTTAAACTATTAATACCCCCATACCAACGTGTCCGCGCCCCAGACACACAAATGTCTATGATGAACGTTCCTTAGGAATTTTTGCCGCGGACGCCGTCTACAACCAGCAATCGACCCAAAGCATGTTCACGATACTACTAAGACATCATCTTCTTGCTAAAAAAGGCACTCTCCGAGATTTCGTCCGCGAGCAACTAAGATACCAGCTCACCCATGACCTCTGGTGGCTCGCACTTTCCGTCCTCCTTATTTCGATTATTGAATCCCGCAATTACACTCTCGATCCAGTGGGTTATTCAACCTTTAATATTCTATTCGAAGTCGTCTCGACCTATAGCTGTGTAGGGATCAGTATCGGCTACCCTGGCGGAAACCGGTCGTTTTGTGGCGTGTGGCATTCGCCCAGCAAACTCATCTTAGCAGTGGTCGTTTTGCACGGGCGTCACCGCGGTTTGCCGGTCGCTATTGACAAGGCCGTCATGTTGCCTAACGAGTCTCTCGCATGNACTTCACATAATTCCCCATTTGAGCCTTCAGCTGACTAGGGATAGGTGTTTGCAGTGTTTCCTATATTTTTCGAGCGACCATCGGCCTAGTATGTGCATTCTTTTCCCGATAACTTTTACCAGCAACTATTTTTTGCCTGTGTCTAAGAATTTGCAGCGGGAACGTCGGTTTGACTCTTAAATACCCAACCGTTAGCAGTCGCTATCTGGGCAGTTCACAACCTTTAGTAAACTTGTGGTCTGCGCGATGATGATACGCGGACGCCATCGAGGCCTGCCCTACCAGCTGGACTTCCGACCAGCGGGACAGCGAGTATGAGGGATAGATGACCAGACAGGCTTAAAGCCACTACATTTAGGTAAGATTAAGTAGTTTCATACAGCCTAGCGGAGGACGGTAAATGTTTGCTCTACCAAGGTTTTCTTCCACCACTTGAACATCGCTCGGTCTACTTGAGCACATCATACATGACAGCTTAGTTATATTAAACTCATCTCCGTCCTAGATCTGACCGAGAAATCTTTAAAGCTGACAGTGCAGGAATTCGTGCCGTGAGATTGAAGCCTTCTGTGCCACAACCCTTTACATCCTGTAATCCCAGTCCCCGGCTATTCGTTTCGTCTCTACATTCCCGCCATTCCTTGCATGAAAACCGGTCAAGGGAGAAAAAAATGCTCAGTTCTCCTTACTGGGCCGACCTAATAGTCTGGAAGCTGTTTTTAATGATATATGCTAGATTTTTGATCCTCTCAGGGAGATCAGCGGTTCTTATCTGTATTCCTACCGTTTCGAAGAGACAACTCCTGGATATAAATATACGGTCTTCGTTTGTCCCTTCCTCAAAAATACATTTCTACGCTATGTTGCCTTCAATAACCATAGGTATCAGCTATTCTTCCTTCACTTGGTCNGATTGTAAGGGGCAACGTAGGTTACTTGAAGCTGAGGTGATCGTCAGATTTTATCGGGACCTAGCGGTCGGTCAAGAATTCCCAATTGACGTGCTTATAACCGATCGCATTGGTTTCTGACATCGTGACGATCAAAGGGCGGTTTTGAGGTCAAGATACCCCCCTCACCGCCTCCAGAGGGCGCGGCAATATCCTGGGATTCGGATTCGGATTCGGATTAATTCATACACCGTCCCAGCCAATGATATCTATGGCTATGCGGGAAAACACCCCCCACTAGGATGGTCGGGGCGGTTGCTAATACTATATCCACCCATAATTGTCAACATCCTGAGGGTTTGGCTCCGCTTGGACAGCTGTCCAGGGTTCCCCATACCCTCTATTGTCTTCTACGTACCCAATGACTTCAGTGCTCTGCCTCGTCTATTTCCTCCCTGCGTACAGCTCCAAATTGCCCAAGGAGCCCTGTGCGTAGCATGAATTTGGCTGCTTGGATCGCAAGCTTAGGCGTGGAGTTTGCCTAACGCCTGGGCTTCGGCTCCTGTCCCTCTGGCTGCTCTTTTGAGGGGACCGTGTTCGTCTTCTCCGGTGGGTCTGCCATTCTCCTTCCACTAGGCGCGTAGATGGTTGAATATTTCTTCGAAGGTCATATGGGTGGGATTGGCTGGGGGAGACACTCGCGGTTGGTGTGCTGGTCAATGCTACCGCTCCGCTTCCCCCTTCAATCAGAACCGAGGCTTCTCCCCCGTTTCTGCTGGCTGGCGTTTTAAGGGTGGTCGGTCTTGGTTCGTCCGATTCGTAGTGGAAGGTAGGCCGGGTCTTCCGGGCTAGCTCTATCCTGGCCTGCTCTCTCCGTCTCCGAGGGCAGGCGTTGCTCCATGCAGTGTGTTCCCCCTTGCAGAGCGCACACTTGGGGGTGGGTTTCGGATCAGTTTCTTTCGCCATACATTCCTTGGTGTTGTGCATGCCTGCACAGTATCCGCATCGCTCTTCGGCGTCGCACTGAAGTCCGATGTGGCCGTATTCGTGGCACCGGTAGCACTGCTTGAGTCTGCACGACCGGTCGTAAAGGACACAGTCATGGTGAATCGCGTTTAGTACCAGCCCTTCTCGGATAGCCCGATTTGCGTGGTATTTCGTGGTGAATTCCACGATAAGAGAAGAGGTTGGTTTTCTTCTCCCTTCTTTGGTCAGCCATTCTACATAGGATACTTTCGCCCCTTCATGGAGTACTGAGTTCTCGGATTCAATCTTTTCCGTGGCTCTTTGTTGGTTGTCCGTGTCGATTGACTCCTTGCTGGTCCGTACTCCATGGACTAGTACCCCGTATGTTGGTTTTATCACCTTTGCCGTCGTCCCTAGAACCTTCACCCATTCATCCTCCGCAGATTTTAGGTTGTCCGACTCTGCCGTGGTCGCGGTGTGGAGCACCACGTCACCGCTCTTCAACTGCTTTGCTGCAATGACCCGTGGGGCGGTCCCGAGCAGGCTTATCCGTGAGCCCAGGGCATCGTTCACTCGTTTGCGGATTTCCTCTGGTGATATTTTGCGCAAGATCGCCGCCGCGTTCGCGTCGAGCTTTACTATGGTTTCCCTGTCCTTGACGCTTGCCGCTGTTGAGGCTCTGCTGTTCGGTGTCGACGGGTACGACGGGGTGCCTGAGCGGACTACGTCGGCCCAAGTATTGATTCGAGCGGCTGCGTTAGGCGCGAGGGGAGTAGGTGATGCGATTACATTGTTGACCGCGTTCTTGATGAGGGTGATGTCTTCTATGATCGGCTGTAGGCTGTTTAGCTTTCCCAAGATCTCCTGTCCGGATGGTTGTTCTCGGGTTTTCTTAGCTAAAGTAATCACGCTGTTGAGAAAAGCTTCCAAAGATTGGGCTGGTAGTTTGGCGCGTTTGGTGCTGTCGAGCTCCAGCAGTGCTGTGGCCTCGGCTATAATTTGGGCGGCATGCTCGGGGTGATTCAGGGGCTGGATCCCCAACACTGGCCAAATAGTTCCACCAACCATGACTTCTGGGTATTGGGCGATAGCCAGAAGTCTGGTTAATAGATTGAACCAGGTTTAAGGTCAATTGAACGGCTATTTAGCGAGAAATTCCAAAAATTCGGTCTGAGCTGAGAGTAGTTGTTTTTGCGCAATATCCTGGGAAATCGACGCGACCGGAGCGGAATATCATATTGCCCGCAGATTCCTCATCTATAGTACTGCCTCTGTGGGAAATTCCTGCGAATCAAGGAGATAAAGCAATCGATGCGTTGAATTGGAAGGAGCATCTTTGTAGGGNGCCCCGCTGACGCTGGGGGTGTGTCGACCCTTAGCGACCTCTAGTATTCTGCTTCAACGCCGAACTTAGCTTTAGTCAGCGCCCGGTCGATCATTTAAGTTATGTTAACTAACTAGTTAACTTACTTAGTTAACTAACAAACTACCTAGTAATCTTCATACCACTGAGTGGTATTTCACATCACGTAAGAGCTTGGCCGCACCTTGCCGCAGCCTTGAGACTAGTAACTCCACAACTTTTAAACTAATATTTGCTCAACCTGCCCCGCTCTCCCCAGTGGAAAACCATCCCTCGATCCACCAGTGCTCACTATCCGAAGACAAAACAGAGCCTCCATCAGAAATTATATAATGGTAAGTTCTGAGTTACATTAGATTTGTTTAGGTTTGAGGCTAATAAACCACCAGAGCCATATTGTCAATTTTGGGTCATGCCACGTCCATGACAAAATGAGGTTGAGGAAGCCACACCTGAAAGATACACGCCCAATCCAGCTATGTGTTCTATGTAATCGCTCTTTCTGCGTCGACCACAAGGGAAAGGAGGACGGTGTCTGTGAGATCAATCATGAGACATACTATCGAAACCACCCAGCCGCTCAGAAGTACTTGTATCGTTCTTATGAAGACTGGAAGAAAGTTTCTGAGCAGATAATGATTAAGGAGATGTCGGTGAAAGAGGAGTCGGCTGTGCAAGGGAAGATGTGTTGATTCGGGCCTGTCCACCACTTGAGGCTTCGTAAGTATTGCTAGTCTTGCCCTCCTTCCTGCCAAACCCTCGACCCTGTTCTTTGTCCCAAGTACCGGGGTCACTCCTTGGGGAAGTAACCTTCGATCTCTGATTTGCATCACTGCACATGGTCACAACTCCTCGATCGTACCTGCTTCAACTCGCCACTATTGCTGTCAAGCAGCAGATTCACCACCCTTTGGGTGGTGACCATTGTTGTCGGCACCCCTCCCACCCTCAGCCTTCTGCAACCCCCATTCACCTTCCCCGATCCGCTTTCCGTATGCCTTGACGAGCAACCCTACGCTAACAGGCCCGATGATCGTATTAAGCAGAATCGCCCATACTCCTGTGATGAACCCGTCCTCCGTGATGTATGAGGTCTCATTGTATCCGATCTCGATTATCAAGAGGCCGATTTCCCCGCGCGCGACCATCGCAGAGCCGAGCAGGAGGCCGGAGAGCCAGACTGTGCGGGTTGATTTGTGAGACAATTTGAGCTCTGAGGGAGGCTGCTTCTCGGAGGACCCTGTCTGGGACACATCGTTGTCCCTGGAATTTGTGGTAGCCTTGTGGGTATGCGATTCCTCGCCCTGTGGTTGTTTACGTTGAGTTTTCTTTTGGCCGCGCGACAGTTGCTTCCGGCCCTTTGAGTTAAAAAGGGCTTGCCAAATGGGGACCCATATCCCAACAATGAACTTAAAATCATCGTTAGAGGGTGTGCAGTCAGCTTATAATCGATGAGTGGAAAGCTAACCTTTGCAAAGACCATCAGCAGAGTAAACAACATTCCACGCCAAATCCTCATGCCCGTCCAAAGTTGCACAAACGGAATTGCAAACCCTACACTCGCGAAGAACAGCGGCTCCATCAGATACTTCTGCACGTCAACCAGGTATCGCTCGAAGGTATGCACGAACGTCGGAGACTTGTGCGCCTCTCGCTCGCCCTCCTCGCGACTCGTGACTACGAACGGCGCCTCTGGGTGCTTGCTCGGGATGTATGTGAGGAAGGTTCCTGCGAGGAAAGCCCCGAAAAGTACGGATGTCCCGGCGTATGCGGCGATGGAGATGAAGGCACACAGGACGAGTATCATGAGGACAAGGTTGGAGATGTGGTCGTATCGCGCGAAGTGATATTCGATGTACTTGCGAAACAACGGCGCGAATATATACTTTGTGACGATAGGTGTGACAATTGCCATTGCGACGGAGGCCACGATTGGGCGGCCAATCAGCCAGCCTAGGTTTACGGATAAGCCAGAATTCAAGCGGCCCAGGTCGGAGATCACGCTGTTGAGATTAGTGCCAGATCAATGAGGGAGGTGAAATGGGAATAACCTCGACATGACGAGCCCCACGACGTCGTCAATGACGGCTGCGCTGACTAGAACGGAGCCGACGCGGGTTTGACCGAGGTCGACTGTGCGTGACGCTGAAGATATGACTGCGAATGTCGTTCCTGCTCCTGGTTAGATATTCGAGTTTCACTACATCGGCCGACTTCGTACCTAGCGAAGTGGCGGACAACGCTGCCCCAATGATAAAGGTCTCGACGGCTCCATACCCAAAGCCAAGGTAGAGCAATAGGTACGAGAGACCAATCGGGAAGCACACTCCTGTCGCAGCTCCGATCATGCTAAGCACAAAATTCTGCTTGAGAAGATCTATGCGCGCACCAAGGCCGCCTGGAGTGGGTTAGCTATCTGTGCTGACTATCCTGCCGATGGGGTAATACCCTCGAAGATAATCAGGATCAGACCGACATAACCGAGAGCGATAAAGGTATGCTGCCACTCAAGTTCAAGGATGTCGGCCAGCGGTTTTCCATAGATGATGCCGACCGCGATTTGGCCGATGATGCCGGCGCGAATAATCCTAGCCGATAGCCATTCGGCCAGCGACAGAAAAAGAAAGAACGAGATGATCACTAGGATTTGAACGACTGCACTCCGTTAGCTTGCGGTTCCGTTGCCTGCGATGGCGGTCATACTGCTTGGTTCATGATACTGCACGAAGCCACCCGCCATGTGAGTCTCGGCGATCTGGCACAAACTTGACTGCTATTGATATAGGCACAACTACACCGGAATGTCCCTGGCTGTTCACGCCATGAAAAGATAAGAAATTTTCCCTTGGTGGGGCAGTTCACAGGGACCGGTTACATCATCGTTGCATCCGTCGATGGGTCGCCCTTGGATACACCGCGCGACTCAACCATTGATGGTTCCGGGATTGCGGCGTGGAGACCTTGGCACTGTGTACAAAACCGGTCGCAGCTCCGTCAGGTTTGCCGAGCATCTGGTTGCTGCTCACGGTCGGCAACTGACCGAGAGATGCCCGAAAGGTATTGTATATATAGTCGAACAGGAGAGTGTATAGGCTAGTTTAAGTATCAATCCACATCGTCAGTGAAAACAATACACACGCCCTTCCTTGGCGTCGCTACATTCTTTCCATGCTTGACATGGGGACGCATAACAAGTAGGAAAAAATCCATATACGAAATCTGGCAGTCAGTGCGCAACGAGATCGAGACGAGAACGCCAATGCGATGCCTCCTTGAGCGGTTCACCGGGAGCGATTCTTGGCACCTTAGCAGCTGAAACTAGGAGCTTGTTGATCATCTTCTCCTGGCGCTGGGGGTAAGGTAACTCGAGACAGAGCAACGAGGATTTTTTCTAGGAGTCTAACCCAAAAAGGAGCCCGAATATTCATAGCCAATTAGACCTTAGCAGTGACATCTACAATGCCAAGATGTTACTCAAGCTTAGCCTTGGCGACCATGTGGACAGTCACCAACTTCGTATTGGATAAACGTCAGAGTTGATTCGAACCTTAAAATCAGCCATATTACAATACTTATATCTAAGTTCATCCTGGTTGATACTCCAGTCCCTTTATCTTCGTAAAATCTGTCCCTCTTTGTGGTTTATTCGTGGACAATCTAAAATGCTCCTCCTTAATCAGTCGCGACTCGTCTCGTCCCTACGAGCACTATATCAAACTCGGCGCAGTCATGCCGAACCAACCAATCCCGGAGGTGCGGAAGAGCCGCTATCCAGTCGCCTGAGCGAAGTCGTTCGGCATACCTGGTATCTGGGATTCACGTCGTTCGGGGGACCGCCAGTTCATTTCCAGATCTTTCACGCGCGGTTCGTCGAGAAGGAAAAGTGGGTTGATGAACAGACGGTGGGTACTCTTTATCTGAATAGTATACTGTGGGACTAATCGGTGTAGTACCAAGAACTTTTCGCCATATGTCAAGGTCTCCCAGGACCAGGGTCAACAAAGATGTTGTTTTGCTTGGCTTTGCTCCACGCGGGGTTTATCCCGGCCTTGCTTGCATTTTTCTTCTGGTCGTATGTGTATACTTTTACGCAGCTCTTGTGATTTGAGGTAATGTACTTACTAATCCGCTAGTCTCCCCGGCGCAATCGGCATGTATGCACTCTCTCTTGGCGTGCAACGGATCGATGAAACACTGCCCGCTCCAGTCTACGCTCTTCTCTCCGGCCTAAATGCCTCAACCGTAGGCATTATTGCTCTTGCTGCTGTCCAGCTAGCTGAAAAGGCCATCCGTGATAAAATTTCACGAATCCTTGTAATCTTTGGCGCATGTGCTGGCCTCTGTTATAGCGCACTTTGGTATTTCCCTGTTCTTATGGTTGCTGGTGGTGTTGCTACTGCGCTGTGGGATGGGTTGGTGTATCAGCAAATTCTGAGAGCGAAGAGTGCGTGGAAAAATAGGAATCGGCGGCCCGAGCCGGAAGGTGATGCTCCCGATTCCACGGGCTTGGGGGATACGGCTACAAGGAATTCAGCTCGGGAGCCGGGAATGGAGATGCTGCGGATGAGAAAACCAGATGCGGGGGCTTTGCCGCAACAACAAACTAATACCCAGGCTTCAGAAGGAAGGGAAGGGCTGTCACAGGACCATGTGATTCGTATTCGTGTTGGGATTATGATTGTTGCTTTCTTCTTTGGTATGTCCCATTGTGGATTTGGAATGATGAGTGAGCTAATCCAGAACCCGCAGTGTCCTTTATCGCCATACTTGTCTCCAGAGCCAAAGTTTCACTACCCCCTTTGGCCCTTGATCTCTTCGCAAATATGTACCTCGCCGGCACTGTGATATTTGGCGGTGGCCCAGTTGTCATCCCCTTACTCCGTTCCTACGTTGTTGACCCAGGCTGGGTCTCCAGTCGAGACTTCTTAATCGGCCTCGCTATCATCCAGGCGTTCCCTGGCCCAAACTTTAACTTTGCTGTTTTTCTTGGTGCACTCGCCCTTCGAACTACATCCTACCCGACAGTCTTTGGTGCATTCCTCGGTGGATTAGGGATATTCTTCCCTGGAATCGCTCTCGCTATCGCGATTCAGTCATTCTGGCGTGTTCTACGAAAGCAGAAGTATGTGATCGATTTCCTTCGCGGTGTGAATGCATCGGCTGTAGGATTAGTGTTTACGGCTGTGTACCGGCTTTGGGAAATAGGGTATTTGAGTCCCAGGGAACGTGATGGGCAAAGTCTGGCAAAGGAGCCCTGGTGGGTTGTTGTCGCCGCTGTTACTTATGCTGAGAGTGCGTGGTTTAAGGTTCCACCTGCAGCGGCTATTTTGCTAGGTGCTGTGCTTGGGTTGTGTTGGTACGGAGTCGTTGCTCCTGCCTGGTGATAAACGCGGATACTCTGGAATATGCTTGAATACTACTTGGGGAAAAAAATGCGAACAAAAGCTAAAGAGTCAGGCCCACATAGTGGTATCTCAACTGACTAGATTGGTTGGCGGAGGCTAAATGCAAAATACTGGGTACATATATAGATGAGCACCAACATAGCCCATCTCGCCTGAAGTCATTTATCAAACTTGCTAGTCAAAGAAATCTCGAAACGTCATCAAGGATTATAGGGGGTATTCTCTCGCATAATATATACCTCGCCTACTATCACTGTGCATCCAACTGCCATCGATATTCCAATAATAGGCAGATTTACCTTAGCAAATTCTAGATCCCGGATCTTGATATGCTTTTGTGCAAGGACGTTGCGCCATAATAGTCCTGCCAGTGAGGCGCTCAACGCGCAGCTGAACGCTCCGTAGTTGACCCCAAGCGCCATGCTATAGATGGTAGCCCAGAATGTGCGGTCGCTGATAGGTGTACCATTGGCGAGATGGATAGCCTGCCACTTCTGCACCATGCGGGAAAGAAGGATGGCAGTACCTATATTTGTACCAGCGAACTAAGACAGGTCAGCTGAGCAAATGACTGCGTATAGCTAATAGTCTCACATTGCAGAGTATAACGGATAGAAATCCCATTCCTCCAATCGCCCCCACCGTCCCGGTACGGGTTACCCAATGGTTCCAGCCATACGCGAAGACCTCAACCCACCCTTTCGCGACAAGAGCTTGCACGAGGACGAACATGGCAAAGGAAAAAGGAACAAGCGTAAATGGCATACGCGATGCTACAGCCGTTGCTATAGGAAAAGTCATCTGAAGCCATTGATAGCCGTTCATGGCAAGTGATTGAAGTGTGGCTTTCTCCGGTTCCTGTTCACCAGGGAGATCCTGCTGTTCTGACCATGGTTGCAGTCTCCCACTCGCCTGTGCGCCCCTAGGGCCACCCGGGTTCGATGGTAGGGGACTCAGGTTCGAGCGAACTGATTCCTGCTCCTCGTCGAGAGTGCTCACGTTACTCGGGAGCGACTGTTGGTGAGGTAGCTGGTTATTCATCGAGATGGTAGATGGCGCGCTTGGGGTCCCACGGTTTCTTCGGTCGAGAATGCCAGATGATGGAGTAACATGCGCCCCGGTCAACTGGGGCTTCCGTCTGTCTTCCGCTAATTCGCTACCCCCCACAACCCGGTCAGCGCGCATGCGCTCCACCTCTTCTTGGCGCCTGCGTGCAATCTCGTGTGTCTCATGGCGCTGAAGCCATCCATTTGCTATATCCCAGCAGAATAGGACAAATGCAGCTGGCAAGGTCACCCAGAAAACAGGTTGCGCGTGACCCTGGTTTGCTGCATCAAGCGTCAAAACAGTGATGAGCGTCGCAGCCATGATGACTATACCAAAAGCTGCTCCACGTTTATCGAGAAAAGGGTTCAGGATTTCCTCGAGCGATAACAGCTTGCCGTCCTCGCTGCTTGCTGCCTCGTTCCCCTGCACTTTATCGATGCCTCCATTTTTAGGGATGTTAGGGTTCACTGGGCTTTTGTTCTTTGCTTCCTCCGGCAGCTCGTGCATTTCGATTGATAGTGGGACCAACGATTCGTCTGCGAAGATAATGTATAGCAAAAAGGGGAACAGGACGATGGCAGTAATTACAACTGGGACAATCATGTTCGCCGTATAATCGATAAATCTGATTTCAAAGGCGCTCGTGAGCACGAGATTCGTGGGATTGGAGGTGACCAGGATTGCGGAAGCGATGTTGGCGGCCGCAAACTGGGCGTATATCCACGCTTGAGGATGCAAAATATTGCTCGACACACGGATCATGTAAGCAAGAAAGGTAGTGCCGGACAAAACTATTGGATCATTTCCGATGAAGCTTCCAAGAACAAAGAAGAAGGCATACAGATAGAAATAGAGTCTATGCCCAACCTTACCACCTTTTTGTAGAACTTTAAATGCCAAATAGCGAAGAAAGCCAGAGGCATCGATGGAGATAGCGATGTATGCAAGACTGAGGAAGAAGACCATAATATCGATAAGAGATATGTTGTCGGCTTTGATAATCCCCTCGTACACCTCCTTGCGCCCAATCGCCGAAACCGCTAAGAGCAATAGGTCGGCAATCAAAGGTGCTGTCACAAAATTGAAGGGAAGGTATATGCGAACGAAACGGCCAGCATCCTGATCACGTTGACGCTCATTGATCACTCTCCAGGTACTGAGAGCGTCTAAAGCAGTATTGAGAAGGCATCGAGGAAGATAAAGGGGTATATGGAAGGGAAGGAGGACGACAACATCTATACAAGAGTAGGTTGTCAGGTACCGAGCAGGACACAGATCATAGGTACTTACTGGCGAGGACAAAAACAACGAGCGTAGTGATTGAACGCCAGTCTTTGATCTTGCTTGTGTCGAGTTCCTCGGCCATCTTGCACTCTTCCTATATTACTTTGAATCAACTGAGACAGCCGGCGGATGTGCTGAAATGAGGCTCTATATAGTGTATCAGTTGCCGAGCCCACGTGCTGTCAACCTACGGTGTTATTGGTTATTTTCAAGGCGATTGTGTGCAGCGCCTTGAGTACGAATCGCTTCGAAATTCGGCAGCTTTGCTTCCAAGGCGTCTCAATCATGTTGGTAATCTTTGTGCTCGTATTCTGAGAACCAACTCGAACGCACACGCATCCTGCTCAAATGGAGATTTCTCGACCGATCCTCACCCTCCACAGCTTTTCCAAACCAGGCACGCCTTTTACGAAAGGTAAATATAGGACCTCTTTGAAGGCTCGAGAGTACTTGAGTAGATAGAACTGCCTGATATTGTGAGACATTGGTTTCGCCCGCCTCGCCGGGCAGCAAAAATCGCCTGTGGGTAAGTCGGTCTCTTCTGGGGGCGAGGAGGCCATGCCTTTCAAGGGGCTGACCTTTCTTCTGGTTGAATTTTTCTCGAGTGCTAGAGGATGTGAATGTTTGCGCAAATGCTGCAGTGATGGTTGAGAATAGTGAGGTTTCCCTGCGTCACATGGTACAGTTGGCAGTGCCCCACCGGAAACATGCTGGTCTTGGCGAAAATAGACACATCGGCTCTTTTTCCCTTCGCAACTCTCTGAAATGGCGTCCCTAGGCAGCAGTTCTTTGAGGAGTGCGGCGGAGAACCCCTCTCTTCGGTTGTTTGCGAAAGTTTACTGTTATTTTCGGCCTGTCGTAAAGATTTTTACAATTTTTCTGGCACTAGTGGAGAACGTTCATCTACAAAAGTCAATAGTGAAATGTAGCAGATAAGAGGACATCCGTTCGATCCTTTTCCATTGGCAGGAAAGGATGACATTGATGGGATCATCTGGTATCCGCGCCTCGAATATCTACGAATAGAAGGCCTTGGGAATATATCCATCTGATGAAGAGATGAACAGGAAGGACAGCAGAACATATATTTTTGACTCACGTCTGTAACCAGCTCACTTTCGACCTTTGGTACATCTTCTTGGTTACTTCACATAATTCCCCATTTGAGCCTTCAGCTGACTAGGGATAGGTGTTTGCAGTGTTTCCTATATTTTTCGAGCGACCATCGGCCTAGTATGTGCATTCTTTTCCCGATAACTTTTACCAGCAACTATTTTTTGCCTGTGTCTAAGAATTTGCAGCGGGAACGTCGGTTTGACTCTTAAATACCCAACCGTTAGCAGTCGCTATCTNGTTTGCTGTTAGTGGCACGGAGGGCAGCAGCGATTGATCCAATTTCGGTCGCCATGCCCGTATTGACGGCTACACCTCGAGCACGGCCGCGTGTGACTGTACTGGAACTATAGGCGATATTCAACCGGTCTCCGGGGCCAGTACCTTCTTTGAAGGTAGAGTTGCACTCCTTTTGGACGGGCAGAGACTCGCCGGTCAGAAGTGCTTCATCGGTCTCAAAGTTCACGGCTTCCACTAGCCTGCAGTGTGTCAGATCAGGTCTATCTAGCGGCCAATATGGCAACCTTTCGAGGGGCAAACGCAGGGTACGGCAAGTACTTACCGGACGTCCGCGGGAATGGTGTCGCCGGTTTTCAATTCGATCATATCGCCAGGGACAATGTCAGTGGACGGAATCGAAAAGGTTTCGCCCCCTCTAGTAACAGTTCCAGTGGGAGAGCTTAAGTTATGTAAGGACTCCATCGTTTTTTCAGCTGCATACTCTTGGAAAAAGCCGACGACAATGTTTAAAACGATGACTGCTGCAATAACACCACCTTCAATCCAGGATTGAATTCCGAAACTGACCGCCATGGCCAGAATCAGGACCTGTCAACATAGAATTGGATCAGACTCTGGGAGCTCTTATGCAAAACAAAGTAAAGTGGGCCGCTTAACTAGCATCATTGCGTTGGCCACCTGGCGCACGAGAATCTTGAAAATGGAGACGCTCTCGCCTTCATCAAGCTTGTTCGGGCCGTACTGCTGAAGGCGACGGGCGGCCTCCTCTTTGGTCAACCCTTCGTCAATGTCCGTGCCAATCTCTTTCAGGACGACTTCAAAGGAAAGGCAATAGGCAGGTTGGCTCAGCTCCGCATGGCCAGGGCGTACTCCGCCCGGCCCTGCGGCTTTCTCTTTTGCCATTACCTCAAGCGAATCGTTCAGTAGCTCCTTTAGTGGCAACTAAAAGAAACAATGCTCTTAAGGGGGAATGAAAGAATCAGCTTGGTGAAGGAAGGATGACCAAAAAATTTAGCAACACGATGGCGCGCGCCCAACTTCTTAAAAGACCCAGGAAAGTGCTTCCGTGAAATCTCTGTCCCGTGTGGGCAATGTGAAATGGAGAATCATTGATAGCAGCTATTGGTGAAAAAGCTGAAAATAGCTTGGCGCCCAGAGCGATGGCTGCATCCAGAGGTTGGGCTGGCCAAGGAAGAAACTCGACAACCAACCATAGTGGATGATCAGTGGGCAAACTGCCTATGAAGAGGGTCCGGGGTACGGAGACCTTGGGTGCACGGCGCTACGAAGATTTCGACCTTCCCCCGCCAAGCGTTGAAGCACCAAGTGTGGGGGCAGTGCCGTGCGAGGACGAATCCAGAAGTCTCCTAGGTTGCTGCATGGGCAAAAGAATGACACACTCACCAGAAATCAGGCATTAAACCAGTGTACCCATCCAAGAGTTGTGAAAATAGAGATTAAATCACCATGATGTAATTTGGGGATTTCAATGGGGCGAAAACAAAAACAAAAAATATGACAGTGGGCTTAACCAAGGTTACGGGGCCCTCAAGACTGACCGAATCTGACCGAGTAAGCTTTATCCTTTGTCATGCGCTTTCATCTGTGGCTATTTAATTGAGCCCCCGGATACGAACTGAAAAACTTTGAGCGAGGATCTCGATCATTTAGTTGCCTCGCCTTGATCCGGTTTGTAATGGCCATATTCCTGGAGACGCCGACTGAATTCCTTCGGGTCAAGCTTTCCTCTTGCGCAATGCCGAGCTCCTCTATCAGACCTACGTTAAGTCAGCGAGCGAGCTAGCTGGCTGAGGGAGCACGTACAAGCTCCTGGTTAGGGGGAAAGGCCATGCTTCTCAACTTGCATTATTATTCGTTTTCGATGTGATTACCTTCCCAGAGATCGCTAATTGACGAGTTCAGCGTTGCTGGGCTCGGAGAACAGAGAGAAGGAGCTCTATTAGTATCAAGCTCTGACATAGAATGAAATATTTGCACAACCAGACTACCGAAAGCGGGCTGGGAGATTACTGCTTCAGAACTTGCCATTCAAACCCTACGTAATGGGAAACCAAGCTCATGGCCTTGGCGCCAAGATTATGAGCCAGATCTGGGAATTCTGCCCAACACAATGTCAGTGATTGTCACTTGCTGTGTCTCGGCGATATGCTCGAAATTTGTCCGAACGGGTCAATGCAGCCAATGTGATAATCGCCGAGACTGGAACGCCCCTCGTAAGGTTTTCTGTGTTAATACCGTCAGTAAGACCAAAAACACCCCACCGAACCGCGCTTTTTTTCTTTTAGCATGGAAAGTGATTAACAGAAATTAGATGCGAGGAGTTTGCGTGAAATGTCCTATTTATTTAGCTCTAACTTTTGACTCTTGAAGATAATCAACGAAACAAGTCTGAATGCTTTTGGAAAATTGCGTCGCACGGGTGTAGCCGAAACGCTCTCTCCATGTCTCTGGTTCCCAACTTGTTTGCGTGCCGTCTATTGGAATAATAGCCTCTCATCTTCCCAGTGTAATAGAGTGCTAAGGTCAATAGAGTCATTACATAGTTCAAGCGCTACTTCTCGCGCTCAAAACTATCCTGATGATTGTGCTTGTTTGGGCTTTTCACTTGAAGCCAGATCTCGCTTATGTTTAGTTGATCTTGCTAGGCATCCCCTTTGAAGACGTTCATATAGGTAGGTGCTGCCAAAATAAGAGCTTGCCACATTGTCATGCGCTGCCAGCTACTGCAAGATTCAGAGATAAGTGACTCATCTCATATTATTATCTGTTGAATGCCTAGTTCAGAAACAAAACGTGTGAGCCATGGAAGATATTACTTGCGCTGAAGGTGACCGGGTCGCAGAATGGCTGAACATGAGGAAACCTCTGGCTGACAAACCGTAAAGAGCCATCCCAACAGCAGTACATACAGAATATAAGAGGCCTTAACCAGGAAGTCCTGCGTTGGTGGTAGCTTGACAACAACACACCTCCTGAAGCCACTGGGAACGGAGAGTCTCCGCCACTCCTGGTCGATGCGCGGGTGTGACATTCAGCATGGAATGTAGGATCGCGCAACTCCGCTCCTGTAAGAAAAAGAATTAGCCATCTAAACAACGAAAGGAAAGTGATAACCTGACATGGGTTATGTCTTTGATGAGGAAATACTGGCTTCCAGCTTTGCAGTCTTCAGTATAGTCTCGAAAGCATTCGTCCTTGACTGTTGCCGACTTCCAAGGATTCCTCCCAGCTCTCATAGCTATGTAAACAATAGCGGCAGCCCAGATGTCGGCATATCTGGGATCAAACGGTTGCGCAAGATACTGCTCCGGTGATACATATGGTGCTGAGCCACAGCGCCTGGTAGACATATGAACCTGATCTTCCCAAGCAAGACGAAAGCACTCTGCATGGCCAAAATCAGAAATCTTGAGGCGGCCATAGTTGGTAAGCAGAAGATTTTCCGGCTTCAAATCACGATGAGCGATCCCCATCTCGTGGATATAGAGAATCCCGCACAACAGCTGTTTCAGGAAACAATCTGCCTCATCTTCCCATAGTCGACGTGAAGACACAATCAGTGCATGCAAATCTCCGCCTGAGCAATACTCCATACACACACAGAGACTATCGTAATCCAAGGGGAGGATCTCGAAGGCTTCGATGATATTCTGATGATGTAGGGAGGAAGTGATCGAGAATTCCGAGGTCGCACGTCTGTAATAGTCAGACTCGGTCTGAGCTGATGCGTGGCGGAAGATCTTTATAGCATAGTAACGATCGAGTTGTGGACCCCAGTTGCGCACTTTATGTGATATTAATACAAGTGCATGAGAGCCGTACCCGGCTACCATTTTGATTTCCCCATATCGCTGGGTAATGGCTTCCAAATCGCGATTCTCGATGGGCCACCCTGCCAAACTGGTCTCTTTCCATTGTTTTCCTTCCATCCACTGCGACTTAAAGCTATTGAATAGCTTGTTTTTGCCTGAAAGCTCTTCGCTGTCGTTGCTTCTCCAAAAATGTCTTCTCGGCCTTGGCGGGCTCAGATAATGTTTATGCCCACCACTAGTCCTCACAAATCTATCTTTTTTGGTTGTATTATATTTTCCAGTGCCAGTGGACGAAAACTTGCCTCGGGGCGAGGGTACAATATCCCGCAAGGTTAGGCCCTCTATGGAGAGTAAGCGATTACTCTCCTCGTCGAGCTCGATATCTCCCGCACATGTTACAGAAGTCGAGTGTTTGCGCAGGCGCTGCAAGAATGGCAAAAAACAATGAGGCATCCTGAATTATGTATATAATACGGATAAAGTTGGGTTATGATGGAGAAAATCTGTGCTTAAAACCAATTTGTTGTCGAGTTCAACGTGCGAATCTTGACTGTTTAGGACGAAGCCTTGGAATAAAATCAAAGCAGCGGGGAGTGCCTCGTCAAATCTGTGAAATACTGCCAAGAAACTAGGGAACTTGGCACGTGCCGAGGGAGGTCAGAAAATGGCAAAGGCAAACAACTGGGAATATTAGAAGTCTCTCTCCAATGGCAATCGGCCGAAGGTATTGGAGAGGAAATGCGTGCTATCAGGCACAAAAAGCTGCGGCTTCCCAGGGTAAAAACTTGAAAGATAGGCCGCTGATGATGAGGACATATGAGAAAATTCGTGCAGCGTCCTCATATCGTGGCATGTGAAAAGTTTGCACAAACCCCATGGTCCCGCATTTTGACAATATGACTTGGTGTGCTGTATCGTGGCTTGGCGTTGGCAATCAGTCATGACGCAAAGTCTGTGTTCCGGCCCAAGTTCGGCGGTGTTCTTGGCGCCAAGGCGATGCAATTACTGCCTATGTGCTCACAGGGAGGTTCCGAAAGTCAAGACGAGCAGCCTCAATTCCAGATGAATACAGAGACACTCTCTGGACTCGATACAGACCAAGGCTAACTAAGTTTCACATGATTGCGGAAGCTTCGGTATGTCCGGGGAAAAAGGAAATGCCTCACAGAATCCTCCTTTTTAGCTCCACGCGGTTCGCTAGATGATGATGATGATGATGATGTATTCATACGCTGACCCCTCGCCGAAGCGATATGCAGGTAATAATAATCTAGATACATGTTTGTGTAACCATTTGGGTGTTCAGAGTTTCCTGAGGGCGAATTTGGAGCCTCGCCTGACAGGCCTGTGATTGTTTCTATTTCCTCGCCACCTTGCAGTAAGGGAGAGGCTTGACACCATTATGGGAATAACCAAAGCCAATTTGAAACGAAGGAACGCGAAGAAAAAGAGGGAACTTGAGTTATGTAACCATTCAGATATCACGTCTGGACTGACCGTGTCGGAATATAAGTCACACGCGAGATTGTTGTTGAAACAATTATCGCACCGGGGATGTTTTGATGTAATCAATTGTAGTTGCACATTTAGGACGAAAGGTGGATTATTGAGCGGACAGAGAGACTGGCATTAGAGTATCTCGTTGTCGTAACCATTGTGTAGAAGCCTTGAGACCACGAGGCAGGAAGCAGAGAGTCGGGAAGTAATGTTGGAGAATGTGTTGTCGTTGGCGAAGATGTCGCGATAGACCGGGCAGAAAGGTCTAGTCATCTCCCACTAAGTTCTAGTGGTGCGTGTCCATTGAGTTGATCTTAGCGAGGTAAGGCAACGCGCAGGCCTTAGCTATTCTTCTTCGTCGATGGTGCGGTCGGGAGGCGAGGGCGCGGCGTCAAAAACCCCAGATCCCTTGAGTATCAGCAACGCGATAGATTCCAAGACACCAAATCCAGTCACTGCATAAACAAGGGATCATCAGCCTTCTTCAGTTCATCGATTATAGCGAGGCAAGATGGGAACAGGCATCTTGGCTATCTCGTCGTTGGTTTGTTGTTGGTTGTCAGAATTTTCGCGAACGCGTCCGGATCGCGTCCAACCGTCGCACACCACGATTTCCATCTCCTTTGGGCAGATCTTGGTTTCTTCAAGCAGCACCACCACAGAACTGCTTGAATACTTGTCCCCAGCACCACGTAGAGGTGTCTGCCCATCGCTGGGGGGTTCGCTAGAGGAAGCATCGCTGTGCCTGCACACGGATGTCGTCCGTCCACTCTTGGCGCCAAGTCCGACAAAGCTGCCTCTCCCAATTATGGTTGGACTCGGTGGCAATAGCTTCAGACGATAATCTGAGTGCGTCTCTGAACTGGCGAATTAGCACGCGCGCAAGGAATGCAATGCCAATCCGATGGCACCATCTGCCTCGCTGCAACTGCAAGAGTCTGTCGGTAAAAGGATGCCAACGCAAATAAGTTTGTGCCTGCCACTTGCGTCGCTCCTCAGCTCCAGGTCCCGTTCTCACACCATCTGGGTCATTTTTCCTCTCATCATTTCGTCTCTTCTATTTCTACTCTTTCCGTTTCCTCTGTCTTGTCCTCAATACATCGAATTGCCCTTTTCTTCGTGTTTGTTCTACCACCATGACCAGAGACTAACATCGGTGTTCCCAGCATATTTGGTGACACCCCTCGTTTGGGCAGCTGATCGGCGCGGCGCACCTTCAGCTTGGCAACCGGAGCGCCGCGTGGCGGCTGGTCTTCATACCTGGATTATCTGCAAAGCAATTTGGACTGATCTCGATCTGTGCCCTCATACCACCGCTGTCTCCGAACAGCTCACATATTCTGATCATCCCTCCTTCGCACACGACGGTGCAGCCGTCGCCCGTCCCGGAATGTTGCCCGCTATCCCCCGCTCGGCCCTTAAGTTGAAGTCCCGCATTCCGTGCCTGAAGGATTTACATCTGAACTTCATACTCATTCACTATGTTTATATCATATCGACAATTCTGATTACCTCCATTATTATCTATCCTGGAAGTGATCTCAAGTATATCGATGCGCTCTTCTTCTCTGCGGGCGCTGCCACGCAAAGTGGCCTGAATACGGTCGACTTCAACCTGCTTCATACGTACCAGCAGGTCATCCTCAACTGCGTTACTATGCTTACTACCCCTATTTTCATTCATACAGCTGTTGTCTTTATCCGTCTTTCCTGGTTCGAGAAACGCTTCCAACACGTCGTCCGCAACGCTCGGTCGCTCCGCAGTACCAGGTCTCGACCTCAGCCAATCAGCGAAGACGGCCATCTGCACTCTCACAGCCAGGGAGGATCTGGAATCAATGGGCATCCTATAGTGGTGTTACACTTTACCCGCGAGAGAGGCCCGCACACCACGATCAATGATCTAGATACATTGTGGACAACCACGCGAAATTCAGATCCTTCACCTACAATATGGGAGACAAAGGAAGAGGGCAATCCGTCTCCGCTTGCTCAGCCATTCACCCGCAAGCCAACTTTCACCGGGATTTTCCGGTCTCTGACGCAAGAAAAGGGTCGGCCCACGCTTCCTTATCTCAGCTGAGATGCGACGGTTGGACGCAACTCAAATTTCATTGATCTCACGGAAGAGCAGCGAAATGAGCTCGGAGGCATTGAATATCGGTCTCTGAAAACACTAGCAGTCGTCTTGGTCTTGTATTATGTCTTATTTCATATCTTCGGGATCATTTGTCTGGCGCCTTGGATCATGGAAACCCATTGGGGCGAAGTTGTGAAAGAGGCCGGACAGGGCCGCCCATGGTGGGCAATTTTCATGGCAGGGTCAGTATTTAACGATCTTGGATTTGCTATCACTCCGGACTCGATGATCTCATTCCAAACTGCAATCTTTCCGCTCCTGCTCATGACGTTTCTCATCATAATCGGCAATACAGGGTTCCCATGCATGCTTCGCCTCATCATCTGGGCCCTGTCAAAAGGTCGTTTCGAAACAAACTCCTCTTTGGGAGGAGCTAAATTTTCTTTTAGATCATCCTCGACGGTGTTTCACGCTTCAATTTCCACGCAATGCGACTTGGTGGCTTTTCTAGTATTCTTCATTATCCTGGATGTAAGTGCTCTGTCTCGTTTTCTCTATAAGCACTAACTTGTCTTAGCTCAATGACCCAACTGTCACCAGGCTATCAACACGAGTCAAGATTGTAGCCGGACTTTTCCAAGCTTCCTGCACTCGAACCGCCGGATTTTCGGCTGTCTCGCTCTCAGAGTTACACCCTGCCGTCCAGGTTTCATATATTATCATGATGTATATCTCCGTTTTTCCCATTGCCATCTCGATGCGACGGACCAATGTCTACGAAGAGAAAAGCTTGGGAGTCTACGACATCGATGAGGATACCAACGATGAAAACAAGACGGCGCCAAGCTACATTGGTACTCACTTAAGGAAACAGCTGAGTTTCGATCTCTGGTATGTCTTTTTGGGCCTCTTTATTATCACAATCGTGGAAGGCGACCGTTTAGAGGATACGAGCGAATATGCTTTCCAGATCTGGGCTGTGCTTTTCGAAGTTGTCTCTGCCTACGGTACTGTTGGCCTCTCGCTTGGCTACCCTGGGGTGAATGCCTCATTTGTTAGTCAGTTCAAGGTCATATCCGTACTCGTGATTATTGCCATGCAAATTCGTGGACGCCACCGTGGTCTGCCGTACAGCCTAGACCGTGCCATCTTACTCCCGTCTGAGTCGCTGGACCAGGAAGAAATTGTGGATACTGAAACGCGCATGCGGCGGCGCACATCCAACCTTAGCCAGACCCCTGCTATGGGACATCACGAATCGCAACCTTTCTCGAGAAACGCCCTAACTTCTGTGATGGAAGGGGGAGAACGCGTTTCGGGGCTTAACTTTACTAATAATCCAGTCATCCGGCGCCAGTCCACCCGCGGGTCGCAAAAGTCGCAGCAATAAGATGGCTAATTTATACTCGGAGATTGCCGTCACATTCTCACCTGTCATATATAGCTTCTTATGCGCATTTATCATTAGATGTCGTCCATAGCAATAACCCACCAAGCCTGCGCGGCAGTGGAACCCGCTGTCCGCAGACGCGGAATCGATGACGCGAGCCCTGATTTTACAGACCAGGGCTCTCACTACATTCTAAGATTGCAGATAAGAGGCCAAAACAAAGTATTTGGGATACGGTAAAAGAGAAAAAAAAACTTGCAAGCTTTGCTCAGCAGGGTAGCACTCTTCCTTGTGCTTCCGCTTGGCGCTTGTTGTGATTTTTATTACGAGGGTTCGTTTAACCATGGGGTATCTTGAATCAGCCACCTGAAAAAGGTTGTTTCCCGTGCTCTTTGGAAGTCTTCCATACGCTTTTCCACTGCAACTACGGCTCATTGGCTCGGGCTTTCAAGTAAACTGGTTTTAAGTTCCAGCAGATTCAATAGCAGATCGTCACTATATTCTTCTAAGCTGCCTTGAAAGGTAAGAACTACATCACACCCTAGTTTTTCCCTTCTCTACATCTAACATTAGCCAGGTATACACGAACCTTTTTGTAAGCGGCGAGGTCGGACCGGTGGCGGTTACCAGTCGGTCTTCACCCGCGGCGAGATCCTAGCAAGCAACGAGATGTCGAGCTACGAAGGATGTACGAAGGAGGAAGGAGAAGCTGTATGCTAATTGATTCAGAAACGAATCGCTGGGGATCAGGAAGACCAGCGATTGCAGGGGTCTTTTATGTACAGCGATGCCAAGAGAGCTATATAGGATTTGGCCCAAAGGGGTTAGGCCTAATCGGGTCGGATCCCGAGCGGCGATCGCGCGGCCTCCTGTCGGCGCTGCCTGAGGCACCCGCTGTGACATCCGGTCCACCAGAAGTCACCGGTATCTGCACTTTAACTCAGAGAATGGAAGCAGGGGCAGTAGCTCCTTCCGTTTCCCAACCTTAACGATGTGGATGGCCCGAGGGTCGCGGCCTTGTACGGCCTGCAAACTGATAGACGAGTTGCCAGACCAGGTCCACGGCCCGGGATAGCCCGCGAACCGGTGGCTGCGACAGACTGGAAGATTTAGAGTCTAAAAGGCCTGTAAAGTCAGTGTACTGACCGTAGCTGCCTAGTAAGTATCATCTTACCTTGGTCTGGTCGCGCAAGACGGTCTTAATTCTGAACAACTCCCAAAGTCGCGGAGCCGATTCCGTTCTCTCCCATACTGTACCTTCTCCCATGACGCCTACAACAGTACACCACTGCGAATCGGGAAATTATCAACTTTTGAACGCCGCGAAGGAAGACTATACATCTACAATGCCTCCTGCCCACAACATGGCTGCACAGACATCACCCCCGTCCCGGTTGGATTTGCTGACGAGACCGAACCAAGCCCTGAAACACCAGCAACCCTGGCAGGTTGCTGAATTGCACACCCCACCGAGCGAAGTCGCACCCCACCAAGAGGGATCGGAGAAAACGAGTTCGGAAACGAGTGATGATCCAGCTGACGAAAACCAAGAAGGTGAAAACTGGGAGACCAATAGCTTTGGTGTCTACGAAGCGTCGAGACCTTGGACAGACGCCCAGAAGAAGTGGTATTGTGCGGGTAAGTCAAATCGCCGTCCACCATATGTCGACATAGTCCATGGCCAGGTTGCGCTGACCGGCATGTCTGATCCCAGCTTAGAGCGGAGACTACGGTTAGTAGCCCCCAGCCGGTCTTCTTGTTGTCGTGTGTGCAAGATCCGTTTGTTCGCCTTCTTCTCATGCAACTCGTTGCTTGCTAGGCATGGCAAACGCTAATTTGCCTCCCCAGAAGGCTAGAAAACCTCCTCGATAAGCAGATATCGTGGAATAACGAAATCCAAAAGAAGCTGGCCGAACTCCGTCCAGAGTCACCAACCGCTGAACCTGCATCCAGGAAGGTCACACGTGCAAAGCGTCCCAGGACGAGCGGGACGGACTGATGTGTACCGAACGGTGGAGGGCAAATATGAGATATTCCCATAGTCCAAAAGGAACAACCCATGGTAGTTAAGACACGGCGGGTCCGGACCGACAACGAGTCGTGAGCTTGTTGACGGCGTCCAACATCATCTAATAGAAATTCTTTTCAAAAACAGCCCAAGCCTGAAGAATGTGTGCGGCTAGCAGTAGTCTGGTGTAAAAGTACTCAGTTGCAGAGCAGGACGAGGACGGCCAACCAAAAGCTCAGCCATGCTACAGCCATCTCTTATTGCAGAGCAGACGAGTGGACTATAGGAAATTCTCTTACTGGCATGTCCCTCGCGGCATTATGACCCACAGCCATTCCGCGCCCGTAGTCAACACTGGTCGACGATCGATTCTCTGTCCGGCCGTTGCTGGAATGCGATCAGACAGCTGGTTAATATTGAGACTCGAATGGCTGGTGCCATGTGATGAGATTTAATCCTAATTCTTCCTCTTTTTCTTTCCCCTCTCCTATCTGTCCTGGTCGACTAGACCCATCTACGGAAGCGAGAATGGATAGCGGGCGCACATGATGGCTTTCGCTACTCGAAGAAAATGATAGTTCACTGTGTTCTGGCTGCTTTGTATTTGGCTCAACAAGTGCCCTCTCTCTGCCAGCTGAGTTTGGCTCATCAAAAGGTCCGTCGGTATCTTCAGAGCTTCTGCGACTGTGTTGGTTCTCAAACTCGGCATTGCTATCATCTTCCTCTTCGGCCGTCCTTGGAAGGACGAAAAGAGACAGCTCTTCCAAATGGCGGCCTATATGCTTTTCAAATGCTTCACGGGATGTGGAAATAGCCATTAGGGCTTATACACCCCAAGCGAAGCACCCAGTGGAGGGAAATTGAAAGTCTCTTGTTCGAAGACGTTTGCCTCCAAATAACAGTGGCCCCCAGGGATTAGCTGTGTCCACACGCCGCCGTTCTGGAAGTGGTCGAAGAGCGTCATGCCATGAGTCTCAAGCTCTACGTGCTCGGAGACTTGGTCCCCTGAAATGTCATGTAAAGAGGTGTACATCAAGGCGGCGGAAACGGGATTGGGTCTGAGGTCGGTCTCCAGAGACTGCGTATAGTTCCGGCAGCTGGGGTATAATTGTTTCCTAGAGTCGCAAAACCGATTTAATATTACCACATTGGGATCTTCCGACGCAGTGATCTCATCCATCGGGTCATAGTTGCTATAATCCGACACGAGACCTGAGAATGGATTGCTACGCACGTCTTCCAGCGTATCCTCGGCGTACTCTGGGAGACGTGCGAAGCTCTCTGGAACCACAATTACATGATATGTTCCTGGGACTGATCCCTCTGCTTTCTTCTCACGGTCCTCATCTGACGTGAGAGTTGAGAAAGCCGGGAGTAAGTCGCAAGGGATACCCTGGGAAGCGGAGAGATGCTCTTCCTGGTGAGCTATTCTGGATGCTAGATTCAATACGTATTAGTATCGGGAGAGACGGGTAAAAAGGGAAGCGCTCACTGTCCCAGACAGCATTGCCTTCCGTCTTGACATCGGGCGTGCGCTCCATGACCCGCCGAGTGTCATCCCGGAAGCACAAGCGCGGCTGGTAGCCACAAACATGGTCAAGCCGTGCACAATGCTAGATCAAATTATATTAGCTTGGGATTTTGGTGAGCTATCCGGCAAGATTGGAGACTGGAGCTCACATTGCACTGTGGACGGACCTCGTCGCATTTGACTATTGGGAGAGTCAATAGGTGGGGCCGCTGTGGGGAAGGAACGCGCTGCGCGATTAGGTGGACTCACTCTTTCGACTCTAGATGGTGGCGAAAAAAAAGTCCTAGTCAGCACTTAACACGCCTGAATTGACCTAAACACTGGCTTTGCTTTTTATTGGGGAGAAAGGGTCGGCGCTCACTCTGCATGTCCTATGAGTGAAACCTGGGATTAGGGTGGGCACGTCAAAGAGAGGTTTGGGTGTGTGGAACAAAAAAGCGATAACATAAAGAGCGATAAACATACCAACAGCCAGTACGTGATCGTGGAGAGAAGCGCAGTCGCGGTTGGATCATGGCGGCCCTGACAGCTGTTGGGGCAGCACCAGTTGGGTTCAATGGGATCACATCACTCTTTGGCGCAATGGTGGGCAGGCGCAAAGGGCGCTTCCTCGATTTTTTTAATCGCCGAGAAGACATTGTATCAGAACACCGGTTCGTTGAGGATATTGAGCGCAATTGATGGGCCACCTTCAAGCATATGTATATATAGTACGGCACTGGAGCCTTACCGGACTATAGCCACGTTTGGAAGACGAGTTTATCGGCTGCGGCCTGCCTTGATTTCTTTTTTTTGCCCAGAAACTAGATCGAATGGATCATGAAGATACGTCCTCGAGGGGAGGCAAGAAAAACGAAAAAAAAAAAGATAAATAAATAAATTAAAATTACCAAGGACAGGAAAAAGAAAATAGGCTCGCTGTATGAGACAGAATCTTGGGATCGCAGGAGCGGTGCCCGGTTGGTCACTTCTTCGGCAAGGGCGGGCTGTGATTGGGCGGTGTCCCCACTGCACTTAGTGACTAACTGGTCTGACTCGGATAAGGCTTGGAGAAGAGACAAACCCCAAGGGAATGAACCACCTGGCACCATCACCAAGAAAGAACCTTGAAAAGAAGCTAACACCATGGCGCAGCCGACCTCATGTCCTGCATGCGACCGCCAGCCCCCACACCCCGCAATTCAGCGTGTCGATTGTCTCTGTTGCCGAGATCTTGCTTCGCGGAATATCCGGCCCTCTTGGCGCTCGGTTCCCGGGGCCTGTGATTAGTACACTAATATCGCCCGTTCTAAGGGAGGGGTCCGGTGGGGAATTCAGGAACTTGAAAGACGCCTCGCTGGATCTTGGCAAGGCAGGATTTCGCATTCAATTGAGGTTCAGGGGGGTACAGGCAAGCCACACATGTCAAAAGCTTTCAGCATCTTTGCGCCCAACACTCAGACTCGCCTAAACTGACATTAACAATAACATCTACTGACTCTCCGCGTACCCCTTTGCACGGGAATACCAGGGCGATTTTAAAAAAGCGATCAAGATCCACTAGAATGCCATTGAGATACTGGACATGACTTTTAACAAGTTTTAGAAGATGAGAGTGCCTTGGGCGAACGGCAAGATTTTTAAGAGGCAGCTCACGGTGCATCGCCAACGCCTTACGTATCTTGAGTTATTTCAGGCCAGGGGGAGCTTTGAGTGTGTTATCAAAGTGCCCACGATCCGCGATGCAATTGGAGATTTAGCGCGGGCGGATAACGTCACAGCGGGCAAGCTATATAGGTGCGATCCGGGCAGATCAGACTGTAGAGTCTGATCACAGTGACCTTTTGGTCCAGTTGCGAACACGCTTGCCCGGACACGTGCTCTTACAGATAATGTCAATGGCCAAGGGCCCTGGCACACTCTCTCAGGTAAGGACGGACCACGGCCCCTGTACAGGCCTGATCTAATTCAAGCTATCTTCTGGTGTAGGCCGGGGAAACCCTGTACGTCCATCGCCGAGTAAATCATACAACTAACTACCCATGGGATTTTATAACGTAATTGAGGATTTCCGGCTTCCTCCCTGGTAAGCGAAAGCAGGAGAGCACCCATGGTAATTACATAGTCACCTCATAAAGCGTATTTTAGTTTAGCGCAGTCACTATAATTGGGGAATTTATATCTGCAAGGCACTAGCTAAATACGTTTAATATTTCTAGAGTGCAACAAGCCGGGTTAAACACAACCATCAGTGGAGCTTTTCAAAATTAAGGGCCATAATAAAACTCCTTGTCAAGCAAGGGCCAAGGATCAAGCTAGGAACCACATGAGCGCAAGGATAATAAAATAATCCGCTGGTATCAAGATAAATGTGTATTTCTAAAACTTATACAACCATTGATTCAAGAACCCGATTTTACGGATCCATATGACTTCTGCTTGCTTGTCTTCTTGAGTTGAAAGTCTTATACCCAAACCATGCAGCAATCACAGTTCCAATAAAGCCCAGCACCCCAACCACTATACCCGCTATATCGCCTGCGTTAAGAACATTGCCACTGTCAGCATTAGTAGCTTCGTCGGTTTGGGTCGGGGACGGCGACGTAGTACCAGTCCTAGTGGACGTGGTTGAAATGTTTTCGGCATCTGAGAGACACGGAATCAGAAAATGGTCAGCCAGATTGAACAGCAAACTGAGTCTTAGGTAGAGGGAGGCACCAATGAAGGACTACAGCACGATCGAATGTTACTCGCTAGGAAAGCACTTACCTGAATTAGTGGGAAGAGACGTGGGGGTGGAATCTGCGGTAGTTGAGGCGACTTCGAAATTGTTTCTGGAGCAGTAGGCGCTATAAATGCTTAGGGCGCTCGTAACGTCCATGTTCTGTCCGCACGATTCATCTACACAGTCTTCGAGAAAGTCCGTGGCGGCAGACTGGAGATCTGGGCGGCAGTAACATGCATTCTCGGGATCAGGATCAGTCGTGCAGCCGAGGACATTAGCAACGCGGTCATACACGCCGGCAAAGAAGCAGGACTGGGCGCATGGCCGTAGAGTCTCATATGCGGGGTCCTCGGAGAGCGTGACTGTCACCGCGGATCCAAGCGTCCAAAACAAATAGAAGCAAAAAAAGGCCAAACCTGCGGACCTGGCTGATCGGAAAGATAGAAAACCTTGACTCATGACAGAGATGTTGAGCAGCGAGACAAGGAGATGAAAGAAACAGAGAAAAGAAGGGGCAAGCAGGAAGGTCAATCTCTCTTTAAACCCTTGAGATTACCCTTGTCAAAAGCGCCTTGAAGGACGCCATTTGCCATCCTCCGATGAAGACTCGAGTAATTGGAAGGTGGGCAGCCTTGGCAGGACTTGGCCGCGTCGCGAGGTGCAAAGCTGGTAATGCCATTGGTTATAACGGTTGTTCCTTCTGCTGCTCCAAGGGATTGAGGTCCAAATAGGCGTTTTATGCCGAACCAGTGCTTGCTGAGCCTCATTTACGAATAGACGGTGACGTCACAGGTCAACCTTGCGAGCCATGTCCTATGATTAAAGTCGCCTGAAGCCACTTGCAAGAGCCTCGGATCTAACGATTTGCCAGGACCCCTGTCAGTTTTGTTCTTAATAAGTTGTTATAGTATCAGGCTTGCATTCTAGTGGATAACTTGTCCCGCCGTGTTACCACTCCTTTACTAGTCAGGACATCAAGCATGTGCTCAAGAGCTGACTTTATTCAATCACGCAGGTATTTCTGTGAGGGCGTGTTCTTTACGTTGGCTGATCCTAGAGTCTAGAGACGCGTTGTCTAGCCCACTGAAAACCAAAATCTGCAGTATGAAAACAACACATACCAATTTTTCTTGTGACATCTTGACAGGGCTTTGGGAGTAGGAGTCGTGGTTTTGTATGAGCATCGGTGTACTTGGGGGAATCCATTTTTTTTGCCCTTTTTCTTCTATTGTTGCGTGATCAGAATGATGAGGGGGCACCAGCAGGAGAAACGTGCGTATAACAAGGCGTCCTTGGCGGTTGATAAGCAACGCCTGTGGGCTTCTTGGAGAGGGTTAAGCTGGCCCTCCTGGGCTTGAGAGCCTTGGCACTGAGAGTACATGGCTGGATGAGTAGACAGCGATGGCCCCCGAGACGCCACCGGGCGTCCCTCCAAAGTGAAGCCCTCACTTTTGACTCGCATAGGACACCTGCGTGTCAGTAAATCAAAGCAGCAGCACCAGTCGCATGGCAACTTACCTAATATTGATTGGATTCGGATACCCCATGGTGGCTATCCCGGACCCTCTCGTACTGCAACCCTTTCAGACAGAGAATCTTGTGTGAGACGCACATGGTCTATGCCGGGCCATGCAAACCGCCTCCCCCCCACCCCCCAAAGCCCGACGCGATCCTACTTGAGGGCTATAAGAGGAGACCCTCAGCATCGAATTTGACCGTCCAAGCAAATTCGCGCGTCTCTGACAACGTGCACGGCGCTGCCCAAACGTGAAACAAACTTGAGACTTTGTACCGCCCCGCCATCGGCAAGACTTTGCGACATGGCGGTCTATCATGACCTTGACTGGCTGTTTGCAATTGGCACCATCTTCTTCATGCTCTCCATCTGGGCCATCGGTGCTAATGTATGTGCGCCCCTTCCTTCTTTCTCTCAAGCACACACCTATGGATACTTACAACCACTTGCTGCATAGGACGTTGCAAACTCCTACGCGACCTCTGTTAGCTCTAGGTCTTTAACCTTGATCCAAGCCGGCATTCTTGCCACCATAACAGAGTTCATCGGCGCAATTGCGCTGGGACAACAGGTCAACTCGACCATCCGCAGCGGAGTCTTTAGTGTCGATCGGTTCCTCGAGTGGACGGCGTCCTGATCATGGCTATGATTGTGGCCGAAGTGGGTGCGTCGCTTCCCTCCCCTCCTTCCGTGGTGTTCGGGCCAAACAGGTTCAAATGACCTTTTTTTCTCGATAGGAAGATAGGATCCTCGATCTGGCTAACCGTTTGCACCTGGCTTGGTTTCCCCGTGGCCACCACGCAATCCATCGTGGGCGCCCTCATTGGCGTGGCCATTGTCTCAGATCTTCCAGGGGTTTTAGATGCATTTGTTGCTGCGTCCGAGGCAGACGAAAGGTGCTCTCTCTCGAGGTAGTCTCGTGGTATGTTGCAGGTTCGCGAAAGGTTCCGTAAAGGGGTCCGTGGAGAGGTTTCGTAACAGGTATTATCGCAAGGCTGCGCTGGTTCATGAGAAATACCCAAGTCACCATGCCGAGCTGCAATCCTTATGCAGGCGTGTTTGAACGGTTTCGGAGGCCGGTAGGTAGAATCTTTGAGTCTTCGTTTGCGACTAACTGAAGGCGTTGGATATTTTCCTTGCATAATTTATTTATTTATTCCAAAATACCTTTCCTGCTAAGCCTTAGATCTGAGTGTCGGGCCAGCAATCTGGAACAGAGGCGAGGCGTTTGCATGAAGTGAAGCTATGGATGGAGCTCCCAAGACTTGTTCAACTTCATGGTCGTGTAGATTTCAGGTGGGAGCAGGATTGTTAGAAGCGATGGGCAAACTGCGTAGGTTTCTTGGAGCTTGGGTGATTTATAGCAATTATCGTGACCCAGCAGTCGATCAAGGATTCCTTATTGATGTGCTTCCAACCGGTCGCATTGACGATCAGGCGGTTCAAGGTCTCAACACTCCTTCACCGCCTGAGAGGGAGCGGCAATTTCCTGGGAAATCGACACGACCAGGGCGGACAATCATCCCGCACGCAATTTTCTTATCTATGGTACTGCCTCTGTGGGAAATTCCGGTAAATCAAGGCGATGGATTTTATAAAAGAGCAAACGATGGGTTGAATTGAAAGGGAGATCCTTGTAAAAAGTTGAGCCTGCCAGGTCTGGGCCAACACCTGGATCTTGGCTGGAAGTAAAATTGAGGAATGTGGGAACCATGTGTTTCCAGCCGAGATTTCTGAGATTTCTTTTCAATACAGAGCTTGAAGATCCAGAGACAAGTAATGGTGACTGCGCGGCCAGTCTATTTGCGCCCTGCATGGAGTCGCAAGTACTCTGAATCGTTATGTAACACATAAACAGGGCACAGACCGCGATTTCCGACAGACTCATGCGAAACCCTAGAGCTACACGTGATACTACAGGGGTGATCACCTGACGCCAGTTCGCCAATAACGACTCGCAGTCCATAAGGTTCGCGACTGAACTAGCTACGGAGCAGAATACTCCTGATATAAGCTAGACGAGCAGCAACCGCACATATTCCAACAAAAGTTCTCAGAAACCTTCCAGCTGTGGTGCTTCTGTTCATTTTTTGAGTTTTCAATATGGCCTTCTCCGAACTTCCCGTTGAAATTATTACCTTGATTTTCCAGATTCTCTTTTTAGATTCCTCAGAGAAAAAAATCACCAAGCTTTTGATATGTAAACGGCTGTATTGTATTGTGTTGCCCCTGTTCTACTGCGAGATAAAGCTGGGAAGATCCAATATGCTTCTTCTAGCGCAAAGCAACACGGGCAAAAATTTGAGCTATGTGAGGCGCTTAGTCCTTGACTTGCACACTATAAGTCCATTTCGACGATTACCTCGCTACCCGAACGACCACTTACATCATGAGGTTTCTTCCACCACATATCCGTTGGACTTGGAGTACATATCTAGACTTCGATATATACTCAAGAGTACGCGACATCTGCAATCATTAACATATGTCCAACGCGGCCCTATAACCCAGGCGACAATGTTCTACCTTGTCCGTTTGATCAAACAATGCGTGCTTGAGAAACTCGAACTAGACCTCCGTTATGCCATTATCCAACCAACCTTGATAAGTGACGAAGACCCGTCCACTTGGCCGCAGCATATATGCACCTTGCTCAACGATATACTCTACGACGTACCTCACGTCAAACTTCGCTTATCTCGCATTTGTCCAATAGTTTTCCGGCAGAAATATGAAAGACGAAAATTATCTCGGCTTAGGACGCTTGTTATTGACTTGCTTGATGATGAACAACAAATGATATGTTTTCACTGTTGCAGAGATGGCTATCTTCATTCTGATAGGTGTCTCGTACAAGAGCTGCAGCAAAACGCAAGATTTATTATCGCTGACTCTCCACAAATGAGAGAGTTGAAAGTCATTACGAATGATATTCAGCCATGGGGTACTCGAGTCATTTGTCCTACCACTATCGTGGAGTTGCTCCACGCGTCCCAAAGCATGCCTGAACCAAAATCGATTCGGAAACAAGAATAGATTGCAAGCCCTTCTGAAAAAGCTTCATCCGGATCGCTCCGTTCCCGACTGTTGATTGGAATGTTTAGTTCCCAAATGTCGGTAATGGAATAGAATGACGACCTTGCTTGGCTATATGGCTGGATGATGCCATAAAAAATCGCAAAGTTCCTTGTCGCTTGAACTTGGTGGTCTTGGCCCCTCAAGCCTTGGAGGTCGAAGTTGTGTGCGCAACTCTCGTTTGAACCGTAGGCGGTATACTCTGGCAGAACCCCTCCGAAGCCGCCTGGCAAAACGGCACCGATATCAGGACGTCTATTTTAACAATTCATTCCTCTCCAGTCCCTAATTTACTCTCTCACATTCGTTCTTCCGTGAAAGCGCGCCCACAATCTTATCATGTCATCCACCAAAGACCGGATGAAGATCGACTCGTTACTTAACCCCAGCCATCGGTCTGGGTCATCAAGTAGCTCATCTTGCCCTTATCTCCCGCCTTCCTTGAATAGACCCAATCATCTACCCGCGTCACTGGAAGAGCTCTTTGAGAACCCATTATGTCTTCAGGGTATGTTCCCGAGATACACATATAAGGCGCGCCATGTGCACGTTTATGCGCAGGATACTTGGACTGGAAAGCCTTGTTCAGGGGTCTCCGGCGCGAGCTATGTCCCTTGCCCAACAGCATCGGTGGGAAGACTTCGATACGCATGCCCCTTAAGAGGCTGCCGCGAAAAGTTCTCCAGCAGCCGCAAACTTCGAACCCATTACTCAAAGGCCCACCTGGCATCGTTAAAAGACGAGAGTAAATTCTACTTCGCTTCCGTTTAAATACAAATTCTAACGTCCAGTAGTGCTGGTCAAACTGAAATCTAAGTGTTGCAAGGAAGGGAAAAGCACGTCTACTGTCTCTACGGCATATGGCTGCGGAAATTCTCTTGTTGATGGAAATAAAAAGTTTCATGCTCGTCACTAAACCCACCCATTACTTCCAAACTCGTCACGGATGGTACTACTCTACACCAATATCAAGCGACCATTGAGGTGCCCATACTCCCATAAAAGCAGTAGAAGCCTTCGGAAAAATTAGCCCTGGAAAGCATCTTATTCGTATGTCAGAAGAGCGCAATGGAAGTGCGGGCCACGCTTACCAGAGGGTTATGGTTGCCATAAGTTTTCATGCTTCCGTACGACGATAGAGGTAACGATGCCTTCCGCAGGCGATTTATCCAGGAGGCCAGTGACCGATAAAATTGCGTAATATTTTCATAGGCCATCTTCAAAAGGTCTCCTTCATGGGCCATCATTAACCAGTTGGCGTTGGCTGACTCTTGCCTCATTCCCCACCAAGAAGCCCGCCGCATCTATATTCTCTTAAGACCCAGTTTGGTGGAATGTTGTTGGGTAGAAATACATGATGTTGTTTTGAAGCTCAAGAGTTAGGTAAAGAAGGCTGGACTCGTCAAAGATAGGCGTAACCTGCAGATGTTCGCATCCGCCCCATGGTGAGACCGTCAATTGAATAGACCGCGTGGAAACAGCGTTGCTAAGTGCCCCAAGTAGTAAGGGGAGACGAGAAGCTGAGATCTCATGCAAACCAAACAATGGAGATCCAAGCACCTTCTCCCTGTCAAATTTGAATAAAGCAAGATAGCTTTTCGATACCTCGACGACTCGGAGAGCTGAATTAAGGATAACTGTCGGCATGGGCGTGTAAGTAAAAATTTTGTCAAGCGGATCTGATGCATCTTTCTCAGTCTCATTGCCGATTTGTGGAGCCGTCATTAAGGAGCAATTCTGCGGTATAGGCGATGGGAGAGCATTCATCTTTCTGAATATCCTGGTTTCACTCAATCAATTTCCCAAGCACGGTCACTTGTCGTTAATGTAGGTGATGATGTGGGCGATCACAAGCGGGGAAGGGAGTGGGGAGGCGGTGAGATACATCAAGTCGGCCAACGCCAACTCCTCACCTAAACTTCGAACTACTCCGTAGAGAGGATGTTTTTTCCGCTCCAGTCATGGATGGCTCTTGATGTTATCCTTCACATCAATTCCGTATCATTTAGTCCTTTTATTAATTAGTACTGTTACTGTTCCTCTTTTCTTAAAGAAAAAAATTATAAATAAAAATTATTACCTTTTGTTTTACTGTTATAGTAAGTTGTCGAACTTCCGTAGCGTACGTAATATTCGGTATACCCATCGAAATATGAAGGTCTGATTCATTGAATCTAGCAGCGAAGCTGCACTCAATACAAGAGAAATAGGGGTAATCTAACTAACTAAAATAGGAAGTAGGAATGGTACGAGGAATGACCGAGCAGACGCTGACTAATACCTAAACTAGCGTTCCTAGCGGTAACGTAATTCCCTGTCGTTCCGCCCACCCCGGTCAATCCGCCCACCTAAAACACCATATAAACTACCATTTTCTAGATCGTAATATCTCAACCACCTTAGACATGTTAGCTATAATAGTAAGTATATAAGCTCCAACTCCCTACTAGAGTATGTCTAACTATTTTCAGGCACTTAAAGCTATCTAATCCCTAGAAAACTCTAGTTATAATAAAATAATATAAAATACAGTGTAATTTAAATTACTACAATAAGTACTTAGTTTTAGAAGATATAGGTAAGGTATATAGTAGGGCTATATACCAAAAGTGTATATACCAAGCTATATTATATATAAGCTTAAGATAGTTGAGATATCCATGTTTAAAAACTAGCAGTTTGTATGGTAAAAAGGGTGGGCGGATTGACCGGGGTGGGCGGAACGACAGGGAATTACGTTAGTTATCTGTCGAACTTCACCGCGTACGTAATATTTGGTCCACCGCCAAAAGAATATGAAGGTCTGATTCATCGAATCTAGCAGCGAAGCTGCACTAAATACAAGAGAAATAGGGGTAATCTAACTAACTAAATAAGGAAAGAGAAACGATACGATAAATGACCGAGCAGGCGCTGACTAACGGTAAGTTCGGCGTTGAGGCGGAATACTAGCGGTCACTAAAGGTCGACATTATCCTAAGTTCGACATAAGTGTACTCCGTACTTCTGTTCTTTCTTTGAATTTTTTTTCTCCCGCCAATTGACATATTTGACTTAGTTTGAGCTGATACGTCCTTGCATATGATTGACTGAGGTGCCCACAGTGACGCAAACCTGTTTCCGCATCCCAAACCACGGGTTGGGTTTCCGTGGGCGGGTTTTGGCGAGGCCTAACTACGTGCGGTGTGATTTGGTCACGTGCAGTGTAGGAGTCTGTAGTTTGTCAGATGCACAGTGAGTCCAGAAACACATTTTTCAATTTCCTGAGACACAGGGTGGCACGGCAGCACTAAAAATCAGGGCACGACCACGAACAAAAGAAGCTAACACCGTGGAGCAGCCACCCCGCGTGCTGCACTTGGCTCTCGGGCCCCAATCTTCCGCAATCAGAACGCCGAGTCGATTGTCCCCGTAACCGAGATCTCGCTTGGCGGAAAATCCGGCGCTCTTGGCGCTCGGTTCCTGGGTCCTGTGGTTGGTGCGTCGATATCGTTCGACCTGCCTGAGAGGGGAGTTCGGTGGGGAATGCAGGATTTCGGCTGATGGGGAAACTCGGAAAGACGCCTTGCGGGGTCTTGGCAAGGCAGCATTTCGCATTCAATCAGAGCGCAGGCAAGTCACAGATGTCACGGGTGACCTCACGCTTCGAGCACACAAAAGTGTATATATAGATATTGCTCGAAAACCTGGATGCAACATGGAGACAAGCAGAACAACCCAGTCTTCAACCACAAAGCCCGATTAATACTCTCCACATCATCTTCGGCATCTTTGCACCCACACTCCCCTCAACCAGACATGGCGGGACGAATCGACATCAACAATGACATCTACCGACTCTCCGCGTACCCCTTTGTGCTTGAACACGAGGGCGATTTCGAGAAAGCCATCAAGATCCACGGGAATGCCGTTGAGATCCTCGACATGACTGTTAACAAGTTCAAGAAAATGAAAGTGCCTCGGGCAAACCGCAAGATGTTTGAGAGGCAGCTCATGGTGCATCGCCAACGCCTTGCGTATCTTCAGTCACTTCACGCCAAAGGGAGCTTTGAGGGCATTGTCAAAGTGCCCACGATCCGCGATGCAATGGCGGATTTAGCGCGGGCAGACAATGATGATGACCAAGGGCCTGGCACACTTTCTCAGGTACGCCACGGACCCACTGCCCCTAGTTCCTGATATAGCACACGCCACTCTAATCTCTCTCCCGGTACAGGCTCGGAAAACCCTGTACATCCAGCGCCAACGCACCAACGCCTCCGACGACCAAGCAATTCCCACTACCACCACTACCACACAACTCCCACCCTTCGCACCAACGCTCCCACCAGGCGCCCCAACAGCTTACCGCATAACCATCGACTCCGAGTTCCACAACCTCAACGCGCGAGGGATCTGGATCTTCGCTAAGGACCTGAGTAACACCCACACTCTCTACGCGCTGCAGGCAATCTGGCGGCAGGACACCCCCATCATCGAGGCCGTCCTGAAGCGGCCCGCCGAGCTGCTCCCGCAGCTTGGCGCGGTCGACGTGCAGCTGCGCCGCACGCGCGGGGGCAGCTTCCGCGTTGAGACGCGCACCCTCGTCCCGGATATTAGCGGGGCCGTCGTCGTCGAGGTGCCCGATCGGGGCGAGCATGTTCGCGATTGGGCGCCGCGGCGGTTTGAATATGGGGGGAGGCAGTTTGTGTGGAAGGGCGGGGGTTCGAACGACAAGGCGGCGGATGGGGGGCTGTTCAAGGCGTTTGCGTGGGAGTCGCTGTACGAGACGGCGCGGGTGTGGAGGAGGGAGGGGAGCATGACGGGGAAGATGGAGGATGAGGTTGTCGGGGGGAGGTTGTGCTGGGGGGATAAGGGAGGGGCGAATAAAGTAGACCATACGATCTACATGGCTGCTGGGTTGGATGTGAATTTTAGGGAGCATTTGCTGGCCGTGCAGTTGGCGAGGCTGGTCCGGTGCAGTAATCCGCCGAATAAGGATGTAAAGGGGGCAGAGGCGATCCACGCGGGGACAGGAATCCTGTCAATCTTGAATATCGCTTCTAACGCTTGATTAGTGTCTAGTTAGTCTTCAAATCTGTTGCCATTTTCTTTTACAGGAACATAGCGTAGCCCTGGCACTGACGTCCGGCGCTGTTTGGACAAGGTCATCCTAAAAAAACTTCATACGCAGGCGCTTAGTAGCCAGTCTAACATTTTCCATTGATAGTTGTCGTTGTGCAAGGGTTGAAGGTGGGGGTAGATTGCGATTGACGGGGAGGGTTTGGGATGAGTGCCAGGTGATATCGAAATGTTTCAGGGCCTGAAGCGATAGTTCCCTGTTAGTGTTCGCTCCAGGGCACCAGCGGATTAATGCGTCCTTCGCTGGATACAAGGGATTTTTGCGGAGCCTGTCCTCTCTTTCGTGGTGGAATATACGTCTTGGGAATGGTGTAGCCTGTATATGGTCAATTTCATTTAGATGAAGGGATCGATGCCCAGCCCGTGATAGAGTAAGATGACTAGATCGTCGCTATGGGTAATACTGACTCTGGACAACCCGGTGGACAATTGGCAAAGACAAACTTCGGAGTATGATAGCCTGAGTGCACTGTAGCGTACCAGGAGTGGCAGCATCTCCTGAGAATTCAGGTAAGTTGTTGTGTTCTGGACCATCGCACCCGCGTGCTGGCTAAGCGGCCCTCAGTTTCTTGTGTGTCACTTACCTGGCCCCAGCCGTCATGTTGTAGGTCGGAACTTGGAGATTGAGTCAGACGGGCTAAATCACCCATGATACCACCGACCGTGTTTGTCTATCCCACATCCTGCAGTATCAGACGCCAGTTTAATGATGGCAGCAAAACCCGATTGACATCTGCCCATTTCGCTGATTTTGATAAGCTACGATTCTTGCATCTACAGTATATACCGCTTACATGGTTGTATAGTACTGGATTATATCGGGATCTTAGAGGGATAACTACGTTGCACTCTGGAGGAAAAGCTGCAATGAATCCCAGGGACCGTTACCTGCGAACTTCAGATGAGCTTCTCCATCAACTTCATCCTTTTCCACGCACATTCCTTAACTTGGACTATTTAGGGAACATCGCCATATCCAAACGCAGGTAGCCTCTCAGCAACCTCGGGACGTCAATGCCTGCGCTACTGCACCTCAACCACAGGCTAATACTACTAGGGGCACACCGGGCGACTCATAAATAAAATCTTTGCCCATCCTGAAAGGCGGTGGTGAACACAAAACAGGAAACAGCCTGATAAACATCCTGCCCCTCCAGCAATGATCCATCCTCTCTTCCTCGCAATCATCCTCCGAACTACAAATTCCGCAATTGTCGACCCCAAGGTTTGCGACCTTCCCTCATGCGCCCCGCTCCCAGGCAAGTACGACGTGTACGGCATCGCTGCCTGCACCGATCCAGACCCGCTTGAGAACCTCGGACCAGATTGCACCCGCGTCTCGTACGTTCGGACCATCGACGAGCAGGTGGCAAGGCTGTGGCAGCTTCCGGAATGGTGCTTGTGCGTATCCGTGGAAACAAGAATCACATCATGATAGCTCCAACGTTCTGACGCAACGCTCTAGCAAGTACCTGAATGGCCCGTCGACGCACCCCGATAGTCCCTTCTCGCAGGGCCTCCTGATCGCGGATGGGACAAGGGAAGACTGCTTCAAGTACATCCACGGTCTCTGACCTATCATCTTTACTATCTAATCTATCCATCCAAACTCATTGGCCACGTCCGATGGCTCCACTGCCGCCGACTGATACTTCCATCCGGTGCCCATAGGTATGCATGGGTCGCGAAAGTTGATGGGTGCATGTATGTTCTATTGGAATTCTCGCTGAAACGCCCCACCAGATAATATCCTATCCCTTTTCTACCAACTATGTGAGGTCTACCAGCAAATCCACTTCTGCGCGGGCGTGATGAGTATCCGCGCTCGGGGCCCGGGCATCTTCCACGCTTTCGGTATGTCGAACATGAGTGGACTCGATATCGCCCAGTTTTGCGTCCAGCGGCTTTGGCAGCCCGGGGATTCGGATTCGGGGAAAGACAGCCCCGGGAACACAGACGCGGATCTCCTCACTGAGGGAGATACTCAACACGCGGCTCAGCGTATAAGGCCCCATATAAGAAGCTTTGCCGAGTGGGACGGCGAGACCGTGGATGACCTTGGTGCAGAGTTAGATGGTTGGTTCCTAGGGAGGGAGGAAGGAAGGAAGATTAAGATAGATAGGGCAAGAACATACAATACTGCAGACGACAAGAAACCAGACGACGGTCCGGAGCGTCTGCGCGAGACCCACTACGTCCGTTCGTGGTCCACCTGGATCACCCTGTCCAGCACTTAGATGAGGCTCGATGAAATCCAGCGCGATAAAGAGGTAAAAGACGGCCGACACGCCAATTGGGCCGAAAAAGCCTGCAAAAACTCCCTGGCGGGCATTCTTGATTTGAGGGATCCATGGGTGCATGGTGACAATCCAAGGGAGCCGTCGGAACGCGAGGACCAGCGCACCGAGAATCAGCAAGCGCCTGAGTGAGATGTTGGCCGTGTCGACAAAGCTGTTCCAGGGGAGGGAGGCGCCGTACTAGAGGAAGATCGTCATATTCAGCAGCATGTCGACGGTCGATGATCAGGTCCTGGAGCTCGCGAGGGATGTTCTCGTCCGCAAATCTCCCCTTGACAATCACTACTGAAAGCACTGGGTCTGTGGGAGTTACGCACGCGCCAACGGCGAGCGCATGCAGGAAGCTAGGGGGGTTGATATAGATCCAGACCAGGAAGCTTGTGGTTAGCCACATGGCGGCCATACCGGGCCTGATGAGTAGTAAAAGCGACTTGTATTCCCGCTTGAGATACTTGCTGGGGAGCTGCACGCCAGCGAGGACCAACTGGATACATAGAGCCAGGCGGGAGAAGTTTAGCATGATTACGCTGAGCCTTTTTTGGCAATCAACCGAGGAAATCCCATCCACGTCACAGCCAGTGTAGTCACCGGGGCAGATGAAGCCAAGTCCATTGGGGCCGACAAGTATGCCAGTTAAAAGCGAGATTACTAGGCTCCCTCTGTTTAGTAAATGTACGGTTCGCACTAGTCATGACACTCTTAGGCGCAACTCACGGGCTTCTGGAAGATAGTAGTGCTCCTTGAGCAGGTACGATATCAGACCAAACGTGGAGAGAAACCCACCAAGCACGGCAACTACTACGTTGAAGCCGGAGGGAGAGAGCGGGAGTGTCCAAAGGTTGCTACCCATCCCGGCAGATGCGGCTCGCATTGTCATGGAGAAAAGCAGGTAGATGAGAGGATAAGAAAAATCACGCTGGTTAAAACCCTGGCATGGCGGGGGTTGGAACTTTGATATAACTACGAGTAAAACCTTACGTCAGCAACAAGAGCGGGGTGTATAACTAATATAGGCGGAGATATTTAGTGCTCGCGTGGACAGCTATACATGGAGACGGGAGAGCAATGTATGCGCGACTTTTCTGTGCCACTGCGGAGGACGGATCTTATCGGGGGTGGCTGTGCTCCGAGTCAGGACCCAGTGCCAAAATCTCGTGTCGAGTCATTGCGGTACCTGTCACCCGTGATACGACTAGTTCAGCGTGTGACTGAAGCGTTGGTGGGAGTGGAAGATTTTGCGACGCCAAGACGGTGGAGATTGGTGGAGATAAATCCCGCAGGCGTGCTGTGCGAGGATAAGAGCTGCACGAGGCCACCAGCATCCCATGCATGCGACTTCGATCGACGAGGCAGTAACAGTACCGACACAGAGCAGCCACTTGCAGTCATGTGGACGCCATCGCTCAACTTTATCAATCTGCACTGTATGCTGATCTCTAGTGCTCGTACCAAATCAGATGTGCTGACGGGGTACTAGATGCCTACATCATATTCATGGGCTTGTTGGGCCTGATTGTGCTTTATCCTTATGGCAACCTCAGAGCAATCGACGCGTATTTTTTTGGAGCCAGTGCTTCCACCGAGTCGGGGCTGAATACGTGCGTTGCCCGCCCTTGTATTACACCAGTCATTCTAACCACCATCCTAGTATTGACGTTAAAGAGCTCAAAACTTACCAGCAGCTCTACATTTATTTTATTCCCATCTTCACTAATCTGGGCTTCATCAATATTCTTGTTGTGGTAGTCCGACTTTACTGGTTTGAAAAACGTCTCAAGGAAGCAGGTAGGGTCGCGATTTACGGGCACGACAAGAAACCAGGGCTAATGGCACAATTCACAGCGATCACACTTCGACGCAAGAAACATGAGGACCCCGAGACCGCAGGTGTTTGCCTCGCTCAGAGCTCTTCAGGGCCCGAGGACAAGTTGCACGCGGCCTCCTCCGAGACCCCACAAGAGCAGCCTACAATGCCCACGAGGGCTGACAACGAGCCGTCCAGCCCGCTACAGCGCACAAAAAGCATTTACTTTGCTGATCCACCTGCGCGCGGCGAGGAAGCCAAAGCGCTCTACATTCCTCCCCCTCGGGAGCGCGATCAGGGCCGCGACATCGAAGAGTTGGACTATGAAGGAAGCGAGGTGATCCTTGACAGAGTTCAAACGAATGACAGCCGGAGCACCGTCTCGGGTAAGATTCGTCAGCGGAGAGGGGCCCAGGAAGCACAACGCCTGAGCAGCATGTCAATTTCAAGGGTCGCCGAGACTTTGTTCACTCTAGGCCCGTCGAGCACTCGCACCAGGCAAGAGCCCGCTGGCCGCCCGCCCCAGGAACTACAGCTCTCCCAGCAGCTGGCCCTGCCGGAGCTTTCGTCACAGGCAACAGTTAGCCGCAACTCGCAGTTCCGGAATCTAACCGCCGAGGACCGTGAGTTGCTGGGTGGGATTGAGTATCGTGCCATGAAGCTACTTCTAAATATTGTTACTGCATATTTCTTCGGCCTGCACCTGTTTGGGGTCATCTGCCTGGTTCCCTGGATACGCAATACCGATCCAAAGTATCGCGAATATCTTCAAGAGTGTGGGCAAAGTAGCGTCTGGTGGTGGGTCTATACCGTCTCCAGTTACCGTTGCTTTCTCAAGAATGTGTGCTAACCGATCGTCTACAGGGCGTTCTACTCTGCTCAGACCATGGTGGACAATCTCGGCTTCACTCTCACTCCTGATTCCATGATCACCTTCCAAGACGCATCATGGCCTATGATCGTGATGAGCTTCCTCGCCTACGCAGGCAACACCTTCTACCCCTGCCTCCTCCGCCTAATCATCTGGCTCATGGCAAAAGTGTGTCCCAAAAGCTCCTCCCACCGTGAAGTGCTCGAGTTCCTTCTCGCTCACCCGCGACGCTGCTACACGCTGCTCTTCCCAAGCAAGCCAACCTGGATCCTCTTCGGCATCCTCTTCGTGATGAACTTTGTCGACATTATCTTGATCATCGTCTTGGACCTCCACAACCCCGAAGTCGCCTCCCTCCCCGGCGGGCCCCGCCTCGCCGCCGCCATCTTCCAAGCTGCATCCGCCCGGCACACCGGAACCAGCAGCTTCAACCTGGCAAACGTGAATCCCGCCGTGCAATTCAGCTTGCTGGTCATGATGTACATTGCCATCTTCCCCATTGCAATCAGCATCCGCGCGTCGAATACGTATGAGAGCCGCGCGCTGGGCATCTACCATGTCGACGGCGAGGTCAACGAAGCGGATAGCAGGTCCTATGTCCTCACGCATATTCGGAACCAGCTTACCTTTGACCTTTGGTATATCTTCCTCGGGATCTTCTGCATCTGCATCGCGGAGTCTGATCGCATTATGGATCCTGATGAGCCGGTATGTGCTGTGTCCTTACGAGAAAGAAGAGAATTCAACTGACGCTCAATTCAAGGCCTTTGCCGTCTTCCCTATCTTCTTCGAGGTCGTCTCAGCATAGTACGTATTCCCTTGTTCCCCCACCCCCCATACTTTTGCCCCGTCCCTCGCCTCCTCTCTCCTCCCCAGTCCCCTACCCAATCCCCTACCCATCCAATAAACCAACCTTGTCAGGCATACCGTCTAACACCTCCCCCAGCGGTAACGTCGGCCTGAGTCTCGGGTATCCAACAGTAAGCACCTCTCTGTGCGGGCAATTCACAACCTTCAGCAAGCTGGTGATCTGCGCGATGATGATCCGCGGGCGGCACCGCGGGCTGCCGTACCGACTCGACCGGGCGATTGTGCTTCCCAAAGACAAGTCAGATGCGCTGAGTCGGGAAGAAGAAGACGAGAGGCTTGCGTGGAGACAGTCTTGGTCCGAGTTGAAGAGGTTGAAGGCTACGTATACGACCTGATCGTCAAGGGGGATGGGAGCTGGGCTATCGTCCTGGTTGCTCGAGAAGAGAGGGGTTTTGAGATACATGGGATGATGTTTGGCGAGCTTCAGTTCCCGGGCTTGCGGCATTCCATGCCCGTCCCTGAATGTATCCATATCAGGGTAGTCCCCGTGTGTATCATAAAGGTAAATCGAAGACTTGGTAGATCTTGTATATATTACTGTCGACCTTTAGAGACCGCTAGTATTCCGCTTCAACGCTGAACTTACCGTTAGTCAGCGTCCGCTCGGTCATTCCTCGTATCATTCCTATTTCCTATTTTGGTTAGTTGGATTACTCCTTGTTTCCTTAGTATTTAGTGCAGGATTGCTCCTAGATTCAAGGAATCAGACCTTCATATTTCAAGGGGTGTACCAAATATTACGTACGCTGCGGAAGTTCGACAATTACTAGAGTTTATATCACATGATCAAGATGCCAGAATATATTTCACTTCATAAACAATCTTTGAAGCAAGAAAGGACCCAGGAGGGAATAAAATATAAATAATATAAATTTTCTCGTTCTAGGACTTAGAGATGTGTCATTTTAATCACACTGCTGGAAAAATAACAGTAAAGGATAGTACAAGTTCAAGGACAAAAGTTTCTGTACACTCTGGCACCCAACAAAAATATATAATCGCGCTTCGACCAGTAATTCAGTCACCACACAACCAATTTAGGTAATAAAATTATTTTAAAAATATACGCTTAATCGTCAGATCTCCGTGCATCAATTAGTTTTAGCGAATAATATCTAGTGTACCAGCCACGAGCAGCGATGCAAGCCTTTACGCGCCGTGGCATCGATTCAATCAACCCGTCAAAGTATTCCTGTGATATCTTCGCCCACGCTGCATCAATTGTATCAAGATAACGCTTATATAGTTCGTCTTGATCCCCTGTATACGTCGCTAGAGCAGGATCAATGTCAAATATCGTCTCTTTAAGTCGATTCCACGCGTGTTCAATGGGGTTCAAATCAGGAGAGATAGCCGGCCACTCAAGTAGAGGAATCGCTTCGTCATTCAACCAATTCTTAACCACCTTTGCTGTATGTATAGAGGCGTTATCTTGCATGAATAATAAGCCTGGTTCCCAAATTCTAGGCAGTTGCTCATGTTGGTGTTCTGGTATCAATGACTGGTAGGACTCACATGATCTGCCGAAGGACAGGCACGGCTTTGCTGCAGAAGCTGCTTCGGTTGGAGAGTGATGCAAAAATGTCGAGAGATTTCCAGAGGATTTTCTTAATGTCATGGGCCTCGTAGTGGTTGTCCGGATATATAAGCATGACGCAGAGGATCACGGCAGCGTGGAAGGCATGGAAGCTTCCCAGGCCGCTGTTGAACCACTTGTAGGAAACGAACTGTGGAGATTCGTATAGAGATTGGTGGATAGCGAGAGATGTTTTCGCCGACGCGAGACACTTTACCCGTGCCGCGCATGTTTCTGGAGTGATGTTGCCTTGAAGATACTGGCAGAGGGCGGGCCGTAGAAGCAGAAGGTATAGCTGGTGAATGTAGCTATACAGAATGTTAAAGTTCGCAAGGTGGTGAACAGGAAGAGGTTCTGGACCCAGTTCAAGCTGGTAGCGCTTTTCGCACGTCTCGTGCACGTTGAGAATCTCGGCTTCAATCTGCGTGACGGAGTATCTAGGCGGAAAATTGAACAGAGTGTCGCAAATCATAGAGCTAATATTGTGCAGCCGGTATTGTAGCAGAAGGTAGGTCATCTGTGTCAGGCGATGGACAGGTTCCAAGACCGTTCCAGCAAGCAGATCCACGTCGTTGGCATCGAGAGGAAGTTTCACTCCAAACGAAGACAGTCCAGGATTTAGATTGCCAAAAGTGACGTTCTGACTGACGTACAGCATAGTCAATCCAGCCCAAGCGCGTCGTCGCTCCTCCCGCTCAATAGGAACAAGAGCAAACCGTTCCGGGTCAACATGGCAGCCCATTGAGGTTGCAACGTGGTGGGTGAAGCCCAAAAGGGTCCAAGTGGGCAGCCCGCGATGAAGCCGTGCGTAGATGATCAGGATGAGGGACTGCAGAGAATTGATTGAATGGCGGGACATTACTCCGTCTGCTGCCAGGCACCGCAGAGTAGCAGACTGGTAGCGAGCGGAGAGAACTTTGACATTGCGACTGACAGTCTTCTCCCGGCCCAGGTCAGATAACAGAGGATCGTCGTCGTGGAGAGCTGTTATGGCAATGGAGAGAATAGCAAACAGTAAGGAGATCCATGCGGTCATAACACTGTTAGGGCCATGGCAGAACTGCTGGTACTCGGCTTCGAATGTAAGGTCATGAAGCAGATGGAAGAGCTGGTACTATTAGTGGGGGATGACGGTTAATGATAAGCTGGCTTACAGGAGAGAAAACGCGAAAGTAGACATCTTTAAGTATGTCGCAATACCGGCTTGGGGGAAGAATAGCGAGTAACTCTTCCCTCGAGGTTGCACTCGCTGCAAATGGAATACATAGGTCATTATCGTCTTCGGGGATCTCAGAGTTGATATCTGGCGGGTTGCTTAGAGAGCTCGTGTGGTTGGTTAAACTCCATTGCGGGGTCAATGGTAAGTAGCGCACGTGTCCTGATGCAAAGATTTGTAATGTGCCAACGCTGCTCAGCAGAGAATTTCGGGTATATTCTAACCCTAGACCAACGGCACTATCCGGCTCGGGGAAACTCCCGCTCAGGCTCGGTGACAGGAGCGGAGAGTGAGAGCCCGGGTGCGAGCCAACTTGCTTCTGGAGCAGATCCTCCAGGCTCTGGATTCGGACGTGTAGCTTAGTCTGTACGGTGGTGCCCTTGCTTAATGTGTTCTCTGACGACAGTCTCGGCTGCCCAATGTAGATACAATCTACAGCTCCCAGCCCCCTTCGAACACACGTCTGGCAAGGACGTCCATTGCGGGAGCAACGAATCTTCCTCGTCCGGCAAGCCTGACAGCTGATTGGTAGCCGCTTGCCGGTGGGCCGTGTGGAAGGGGCCATTGTGTAAACGAGGGAACTGTGGTACGGAATCAAAAGTTGAAGGTCTGAGGAAGGCAAAGAGCGACTGGGACCATGGCTCGTCTGCGATGATGAGAGATACGAGACGAGTAATGTTGGATAGGCAAGCCAATTATCGAAACAAGGCTATTTGGCGCTTTAAAGTCATTCCCAGGACCATGGTTTTGCTGCTCTGGTGTCAGTAAAGCTAATAGCTACAATAACTAACTACTACGGAGTACTCCGTACTATTACACGAATTGTGGAGATTGGAGAGATTTGAGTTTATTTTCCACTTTCGTCGAATCGTGCAGTCTAGGTCATAGAGTTCTGTTGCCATTCCACTGGTGATGCACGAGTTAGTGGGCCAATGGAAAGATGATCTACACGTCTGACTTGCATGAGCGGCATAGCGGATGCAGACCCAAGTTAAAGGCCCTGCGAGATTTGCGTTCCATGTTGCTTGCCACCGAAGGAAGGGAAGCCAGGTTGGCAGTCCAGAAAGGACTATTGAAGATGGCTCAAGTGGGCCCCCAATGTCATTTGCTTCCGGGCAATTGGGCCTCAAATTTGAATTTCTTGGAGCGATAGACTTAGCCTTGTCAGCCAATGGCAATGGTAACTAATCTTCTTGCTAGAGGTCAAAGCACAGTACTCCGTAGCGATCGCAGTTTGTCCAAATCTAGTTTATGCTAGAAAGAGACATAAGAATTATGATTGGATCAGTCGCATCTTGTTAGTCATCGCCTGTAGAAATAACGTAATTCCCAACCGAGTCGGACACCCGGTCGACCCGGACACCCCCACCAAAATCAACGCGCGTTCAACGCGAGGTTATTAAAACAACAACCATGCCACCAAAAGCGCGTCAACCGCCTCGAAACTTGGTGGAGCAAGAGGGGAGGATTCAACTTGCAATATCTGCTTTAAAAAAGCAAGAAATTTCGTCAGTTCGTCGCGCAGCAACTGTTTTTAATGTGCCTCCGTCAACATTGCATGATCGACTCAGTGGGAAGCAATATCGAATTGAACAGCGCGCCAATGGCCACAGGCTTACTGCGAACCAGGAAGCATCATTAATTGAATGGATTCTATCTAGAGATGCACGTGGAGTCGCTCCTAGGCCTTCTCATGTGGCAGAAATGGCTAGTCTTCTTCAAGAGACAGATCCAACATCCTCCCGACCAGTTGGAAAGAACTGGGTTTCTTCCTTTATAAATCGACATGATGAGGTCAAACCTCGCTTTGCTAGACGATACAACTACTCGTGCGCGAAATGTGAAGATCCCCGGGTTATAGAGGCATGGTTCAAGCAGCTAGAGGAGGTTCGAAAGCAGTGGGGTATACAGGATGATGATATCTTCAACTTTGATGAGACTGGCTTTGCCATGGGCCTTATTGCAACTACAAAGGTGGTTACCAGAGCTAGTATGCCTGGTAAACCTCATCTTGTTCAACCGGGCAATCGAGAATGGGTTACTACAATTGAGTGCATGAATTCAAGTGGTTGGATGGTGCCTTCCTGCATCATCTTTAAAGGCAAGCGATTCATCGAGGGTTGGTTCGAAGAATATGGGATACCAACTGATTGGAGGATTGAATTAAGCGCGAATGGTTGGACAATAGATCAAATAGGCCTTCGGTGGCTTGAAAAGGTCTTTATTCCTGCAACAGCTACACGAAAGGTGGGGGGATATCAATTACTTGTTCTAGATGGCCATGGTAGTCATCTCACGCCTCAATTCGATAAGATGTGCGTGGATAATAATATTATTGCCATCTGCATGCCTCCACATTCATCTCATCTTCTACAGCCTCTGGATGTTGGTTGCTTTGGGCCATTGAAGCGCGCATACGGAGGTCTAGTCGAGGCAAAGATGCGCTTGGGATACAACCATATTGACAAGCTTGACTTCCTAAATACATATCCTACAGCTCACCGGACAGTCTTCACGCCTCAGAACATTCAAAGCGGCTTTGCAGCAGCTGGTATACTTCCATTTGAACCTCAGCGGGTGCTTGACAAGCTGAATATATCAATGGGAACGCCTACCTCCCCTTCAAGCCGTGGAGGAGGTTCAACAGCCTCCTCATTACTAGCCACACCTCATACAGCTCATCAACTCCTCAAGAAAGCATCCTCAGTCAAGAAGATGCTTTGGCAGCGCTCTGAGAGTCCTTCTTCACCATCAAAAAGAACCTTTAATGAGTTGTTGAAGGGTTGCGAATTGATAATGCACCAGGCAGCATTCATGGCGAAGGAATTACATGATCTCCGCGCGGAGAATGAGAAAACAAAGCAGAAAAAGGGTCGATCTAGGCGTCAAATGACTCCAAATGAAGGACTTTCAATACAAGAGGCAAGGGATCTAATTGCGCAGAGAAATGAGCAATTACATGAAGAAGGTGGTCCATCTACTAGTTCTACTCCAATTGCTTCTATCGCGCGAAAACGCGCTCCGCCAACATGTTCTGAATGCCATATTCAGGGACATACAAGGACTAGCTGTCCTACACGTCGAAATAATTAATATAATGAGAATACTAGTATTTTGGTGGTGGTGAATAGCTTCAAAAGTTCTAAGTGTGGTCAATTTTGGTGGGGGTGTCCGGGTCGACCGGGTGTCCGACTCGGTTGGGAATTACGTTATCTCGGGGAAGCCGTGCCACGATGTCGGGAATTCCGGGGTAGCGCCATCGACTAGGAACAACGGCGTGGATGGAGCTGGGCTGGCAAAAAGTATGGTTCTAAGTTTAGAATGCAAATTGGGAGGCTTGTGGCAAGGAAGATGTTTCGCTGGAACTCACAGGTTCGTGCTGTCACGAATGGCTGCAGGGCAGTTGGCTAGACCCTGGGAAACTGAAACTGTGAATCAGAATTAATCTCTCAACTTGTCGACATTTGAGTACTCCAGAAAAGTATTAAAAGAGGAGCGGTGGACAGATGGACTCTTTTGGGAATGTGTGTGGAGTTGAGCAGATGTAAGAACCTCGCGTCGTTTGCCGCACACAGCACAAGGTTAAGGAGGGGCTGATGTTAACGGCCCAGGGTACAGCAGGCGTTAACATTGCCTAACGCCTCGTGGATGGAAGGGAAGGGAGAGACTGCCGCAGTTTGTCTTTCTCATCGGCGGGTCGCGGTTCTAAAGGTGAAACGTATCCAGGACCTTCGTTTGTGGAAGCCGTGGAGTAGGGATACGAGGGATGCTGGCTCCAGTACATTGCTGTTGGACAGGGGACGAGCGTAGGAGAAGCGGCTGGGGCTCTCTCGAACATAGAATGTCTGGTGTCCGAAATTGATTCGGACCACACGACAGGTCGAAGGCTAGAGGGTCGATGATGGTCGGGACTGTACGATTTGTCTGAGAGCTCTCAGCAAGTAACAGTGACGACATGATCATTTGAGGACACCGTCATGGCTTGAATGTCCTGTACCCGAACGACGAAAATAACGGAGAAAGCCACCCGTCGAAACACGTGCGGAGGGCTACGGTAACGCAAAACAGCCAACAATGCAGTAAGCAGCAGTCTGAAGCTGGCTCATGAAGTTCTCGCGTAAGCAACAGGCGGTCAAGGGGTTCCTTGACGAAATCGAGAAAAGTCTGCAGAAGACAGCATCGGCCGGAGCTTGAAGACAAGAAGCTGAATTCAAAAATCTTTTCTGCTAGCATTCACTGGGGCATGCTGTACAGACAGACCTACAAGCACCTCCGGCTACTCGAGCACTAGGAGCAAGGGGTGGAACTTAGAACGTGTTTCTCTTTTTCGATCTCCTTGCAAAGGAATCTTCATATTGCGCAAGTTCAACCCTTGGGCTCTCAGAGCGGGCAGTATGCTCTTCCGTGGTGAGAGACTCTAGCCCATTCCCAAACGGGCCGGAGGGAACAATCAAAGAAGGTGAACTGTTTTTCTTTGACTGCTCTCTTGGTGCCACACTTCGATCCAGTGAAGCGCCAAGTTGACACTGGTCTGAGCAGTACAGGGAGCCGGATGTTTCTTTGCCACAGGACACACACTTCTCAAATAAAGTTGACATTTGAGATAGCAGCGACAGACTTGTGGTCAATGAGTCAACAACGCGAAGGGCTGAGAATGATAATCGTCTTTTTAGAGAACTTATGTTATAGTAATCGTTCGTGGGATTATCCTTTATTCTCAGCGAGTTTCTTGAATTATGCAATAATGACGAGCGTGGAAATCTTACGTCAGTTAATCCCTAGCAAGCTCAAGTCATATATGGCTACAATTTGGCGACGGACGATTTGGGAGTGTTAACTTAATTGGAATTAAAATAGAGCACCTATCACTAGTATGTACAGTCGGTGATCACCTGACGCCCGGTCCCACCTGACGCCCGATTTCACCACCACCAGCGATATCGAATATGAAGCAATTCAACCACATATAATTATTATTATCGGGTGATCTTTTGGTGGATGAATATAGTCATTATTAGGACTCTATATACAGTTTTTAATTGGTCCGAAAGCGCTGTGGGAGCCGGATCTCGCGGCCTCGACGATTTACTGTTTGAGGGGCCTCTGGGACTTCTATAGGCGTTGTTTGCCTGGTTTCTATAGATTTTTGCTTGCGTGAAGCTTTAGAGACCTTCTTTTGAGTCTTCTTCACCTGCTGGAAGTCATTTTAAAGCTGGCAATCCGCCTCCTTTGCTAGGCGAGCATCCTCCTTTTGTTGTTTCTTTCGCTCTGCCTCTAGCAGCCGTAATTCTCGCTGGGATGCTCGATTTCTCTTTCGCTCTTCAAGCAAACGTTGTTTCTCCTCTTTAGCAAGCTGTCGACGGACCTTCTCTTGCTCCTTTGACGCCTTGGCGAGTTGTATAGCTTCATCCTTCTGCGTTTGAAGATCACGAGCCTGCTGAACCTTTTGAGGAGAGTAAAAAACTACACCACCATTCTCAGGGGCCGCGAGCTCAAACTGCAAGGGTTTCCCACGTTGACGCTTCTTCTTCTCATTCTGGAGGGCTGATTCGAGGCCTTGGCAACGTAGTTTCAGGATAATATTCTCTGTAGAGAGGTGATGCATCGTTGAGCTTAACTTCTTGGTGTTTTTATCATATATATCGGTGACAACTCGATTTAAAAGCTTCTCGATCTTCCGCCAGTCCTCTGCCTGTAGGATAGAGCGCGAGGAATCGCTTAAGGAGGGCCTAGAGTCTTTCTGCTTGTTAAATCGAACTAGAACTATTTCCGGATTCAGCGGCCATATCCCCACAGTTCGCCATGAAGAAAGGATATTACTCGTTGATAAGGCCTGTTCCCAGGCTGGCCAGAAGAGGCGGAAGAAGTCCCGTTTAGTAATATGACTGAGGCCCATTGATTTATGTAGAAAGTCCTCGAGATTCTTGCTGTAAGCGGTGGAGAGAGGGCTGAAGATCCCAACATCAAGCGGCTGCAGCGAATGAGTTGAATGAGGCGGATATGTCATTAGTAGGATCCTATTAGTGTCGCAGTAATCGATAAACTTCATGGTAAGGTGAGATCCGTGACCATCAAGGATAAGAAGCCTCCATCGCCTGCGCGCCTTATCCTTGGTCTCGCGGTCGAATATATTAGTCAACCAGGCGTATCCTAGCTCATCATTGGTCCAACCACTTGCAGAGGAGGCGAAGAAGCAAGAATGAAGCTCAGGATCAAAGTCTTGAAGCCAGGAATCTTGTATATTACCAGTAGAAGCCTGGTAAATAAGACCCGGTGAGAGAGAGGTTCCATCAGCGCAAATACAAGCAATTGAAGTTATCCACTCGCGATTCCCATCCTGCAGGCGTTGCTTAAACCCTCCCCCAGTTATATATTTCTGCTTCGAGAAGATCCTGAGGCCTTTAACCAGCATTCCAATAAGAAATCCTTTCTCGTCCATATTATAGATATCCTCTGGCCGTAGCTCGTATTGCTACATCTTCCGGCTTAACAACTCGAAATATAGAGTGTATCTGTATGCGGAATCGGCTCGTTTTCGCGCGGCATCAATAGCTGTTGTATAGGTTGAGATAAGGTCATCTTGATGACGCTTTATAAAGCGCCCAGGCCAGTGTTTTCCAGGCTTCTCGCCAGTAATTTCCTTTGCAAAATTCCGAAGCATCTCATGGGACGTGAAGAGGCCTCGCTCGGTAAGCTTATTGATATAGCTTATTAGTTCTTTTTCATGTTGGTTGGTAAGAACTCGCTGTTGCTCATATTGGTGGTCCCTAGGGCGCTGTACCCCGCGGTGGCGTCTTGATAGCGTTGTCCGATCAACACCAAACTCTTTTGCAATCTTAGTATAATTAATTGAATCGCCAATCTTCAACGAGTTGATTGCTTCTATCGCGGCTTCAATTGAACCCATATTGATTGAGATATAAGCTGTTGAAAATTATCGAAAAAACAGTCGGTGAGGGGAAATCGGGCGTCAGGTGGGACCGGGCGTCAGGTGATCACCGACTGTAGGGTTCACCGAGTCTTTAGTAAGCCCCCGGAAACATGAGCGCCCTCTCGGGCGCTCCTACGCCCCTTCCAACAGTAGACGACTGTTGGACGATAAAAAAAGGCAGTGAACAAAGTCTGGGCTTGACTGCTGAAGATGACTCCTTTGCCATATGATGTTTAACTACGATAATCGCTACACTACAATATCCGGGTTACCCGCTGAATGCGCAAGATCTTAGTATTCCGCATCAAGGCAAAAAGGCTAAATTTGTTATCAAGCGCGACTGCCTCGGCACAAGGGTAGCGGCTGGCGATGATATCTCGATTATTCTATTCGCCGCGCCGCGTAGATGGTGCATTTGTAATCCTGGATCTCAGGTCTGTATCTGCAGGTTCTGACTCGAGAATATTTGGCTAGCACCAATCAAGAGAATAATTCTGGTAGCGGCGAAAACGCAACGTGTCGTCATGCGCGGCTGAAGTGTACAGATAAATTGTTATTTCGGTTGAATTCTCTCCATTTCCTCGGCGGCTGCTGGGGACTTGCCCAAGTTCGGCAGCAAGTAGCGATGGTTGCAAAGCCAACTTGGGGTTCCTGAATCAGGAGCATTCTGGCGAGCAGTCTGCCCAGTGAGTCGTACTTGATCGAGTCAAGAGGCTTCCTTGGCTCGCTGGGCGGACACACGCGTTAATATCGTTATCGAGCGCCGGGATTTGCACGGGCTCTGCTCTCCTCGCCACTGATCCGGGGCTGCGATCCGTTGGACGTTGAAGAGTGGTTTTTGGATTTGCCAGAATCTGGGTCGCTTCCAGGCCCGCGGACCCGATCGAAAACCACGCGCTAAGGCCGAGTTTGTCAGCGGGGCTTTCGGCTGCCTTCGCCAAGTGACGATTTTCCGGATTCCCAACTTTCGAGGCACGATGGAGTGAGTAAGGAGGCCTCTAGAAATACCTCTATTGCCAGTTCTCCTGATTCATGCATTCGGCACAGACACTGACCCGGACCGGGCGACCCCAGCGACGACAATGTTTGTCCACTATGACGGACCATCGAGCAAGAGGAGCACAAAGACGCGGAGAGCCGTCAACGCGTTCAAAGCGGCGAGGGGGGCTTCTCGCTCCCACGGTACACATGACCCGGCGAGAGGGACCTTTCAGTGGATGCATATCCCCGAGGATGAGTCGACAGGCGGGAAGGATGCCTCGTCACCAACAAACGCCCCTCACTCCGCTCAGTCGCAGTCACAGGCGCTTGTTAGGCCAGCGGCAGCGGCGCCGCTGACAAAATATCTGCTGGGAAGCGACAAGTTCTACCCCATCCTGGAGAAGCGTGGAAAGGGCCCTCTGACAGCAGCGGCACTGAGCCACTGTGCGTGTCGCCGAATTCTTCTTCCTGGACTGGAACTAGTCGCTAATACACGGCGCCAGATTTCGATATCCTCCTTCCGCATGATGCGAACGCGCTCGGCCTCGGCGATGCACGCAAGACGACGTATGGAGCCGGACTCCTCAACTGGTTAGCCAACAATGACGGAGTTCTTCACGGATTGGCTGCCTTTGCTCTCTGTAGTATGGACATTGTTGGAAAGACAGACGAGATCTATCGAGCGATTCTCCACCACCGCCAGAAGACCCTAGAAGACGTCCACCGGCGCTTGGAGCGGAACCAAGTGGATGATGTTCTCATTCAAGCGATATGCTTGTTGATTCCGATAGACGATTATCTGGGGTACGTCGAGTATGGGCCTGTGCACCAGAAAGGAATGTCGGATGTCATTCGGGCCCGTGGTGGTTTCGACAAGGTGGGCAGTTCAGACGTCGTCGCGTATGGGGAGAATCTGCAAAGAAGCATCCTCACAGTAATGAGCATGATTGAGTTTCATATTCGGACCAGAATCACATCCGAGCCTTCGCACGTCCGACACTCAATACCGCTTTCACGAAGCCTGTCGCTGGAAACGCAGCAGCAGATTTCGGCTCTGCCACCCGGATTGCAGGACCTCTTCCACGCAGGCATCCTTTCCTTGCCCGTCTTGCCAATTTTGAACAGCTTCCAGG